TGCTTGCCAACAATCAGCTGTCAGGCTGCCTCCCTGACCCTGCCCACTCTCTAATTTATGCTATAGGCCCCTCACCTATCCCCTCCACCATCCATGAAGCCTGCTCGCCAACAATCAGCTGTCAAGCTGCCTCCCTAAACCCTGCCCACTCTCTTGTTTATGCTATAGGCCTTTCACCTCTCCCCTCCACCATCCATGTAGCCTGCTCGCCAACAATCAGCTGTCAGGCTGCCTCCCTGACCCTGCCCACTCTCTAGTTTATGCTATAGGCCTTTCACCTCTCCCCTCCACCATCCATGCAGCCTGCTTGCCAACAATCAGTTGCCAGGCTGCCTCCCTTTCACCCTGCCCAATCTCTTGTTTATGCTATAGGCCTTTCACTTCTCCCCTCCACCATCCATGCAGCCTGCTCGCAAAACAATCAGCTGCCAAGCTGCCTCCCTGACCCTGCCCACTCTCTAGTTTATGCTATAGGCCTTTCACCTCTCCCCTCCACCATCCATCCAGCCTGCTCGCCAACAATCAGCTGTCAGGCTGCCTCCCTTACCCTGCCCACTCTCTAGTTTATGCTATAGGCCCCTCACCTCTCCCCTCCACCATCCATGCAGCCTGCTCGCCAACAATCAGCTGACAGGCTGCCTCCCTGACCCTGCCCACTCTCTAGTTTATGCTATAGGCCTTTCACCTCTCCCCTCCACCATCCATGCAGCCTGCTCGCCAACAATCAGCTGTCAAGCTGCCTCCCTCACCCTGCCCACTCTCTAGTTTATGCTATAGGCCCCTCACCTATCCCCTCCACCATCCATGCAGCCTGCTCGCCAACAATCAGCTGTCAGGCTGCCTCCCTTACCCCTGCCCACTCTCTTGTTTATGCTATAGGCCTTTCACCTCTCCCCTCCACCATCCATGCAGCCTGCTTGCCAACAATCAGCTGCCAGGCTGCCTCCCTTTCACCCTGCCCAATCTCTTGTTTATGATATAGGCCTTTCACTTCTCCCCTCCACCATCCATGCAGCCTGCTCGCCAACAATCAGCTGCCAGGCTGCCTCCCTGACCCTGCCCACTCTCTTGTTTATGCTATAGGCCTTTCACCTCTCCCCTCCACCATCCATCCAGCCTGCTCGCCAACAATCAGCTGTCAGGCTGCCTCCCTTACCCTGCCCACTCTCTAGTTTATGCTATAGGCCCCTCACCTCTCCCCTCCACCATCCATGCAGCCTGCTCGCCAACAATCAGCTGTCAGGCTGCCTCCCTGACCCTGCCCACTCTCTAGTTTATGCTATAGGCCTTTCACCTCTCCCCTCCACCATCCATGCAGCCTGCTCGCCAACAATCAGCTGTCAGGCTGCCTCCCTGACCCTGCCCAATCTCTTGTTTATGCTATAGGCCTTTCACCTCTCCCCTCCACCATCCATGCAGCCTGCTCGCCAACAATCAGCTGTCAAGCTGCCTCCCTGACCATGCCCACTCTCTTGTTTATGCTATAGGCCTTTCACCTCTCCCCTCCACCATCCATGTAGCCTGGTCGCCAATAATCAGCTGTCAGGCTGCCTCCCTGACCCTGCCCACTCTCTAGTTTATGCTATAGGCCTTTCACCTCTCCCCTCCACCATCCATGCAGTCTGCTCGCCAACAACCAGCTGTCGGGCCGCCTCCCTGACCCTTCGATCACCAACCCAGCCTTCTTCACATTGTGAGTTAGTGGCGCACTGTTAAAAAACAGGCCAGCGTGCACAAGGAGAAGCTGGTTCAGAAATGCTGGAAGTTTCTTGAAACTGTAAGTGGGTTTGCAGCAATGGAGACAAGCAAAACAAGGGCTAAGATTGGCAGAGAGTGTATAGAGCTACTTTGGAGGCGACTTGGACTGGTCCAGGTGAAGGGAGTAGTATCCAAGGGACTTGGGGTGGTTTACTGAGACCTCTTCTTAAAACATCACTTTTATCACGAAGTAGTACCCCAACGGACTGGGGGTGGCCAAATGCCTTTTGAGTTGACTCAAAAGTCAACTCACCTGGGCTGGTCTGGTCCACGTCAAGGGAGTGGTACGCAAAGGATTTGGGGTGGCCAAATGGACTCTCAAGTTGCCCTCAGTTACGTTGGAAGCGTGATTGGCCCCAAAAAAAAAAAGTGGGCCTGGAAGCGCCCCCTCTAGTGGAACCGCGATTCCTCGAATTGGAAACGCGAATACCAAGCTAGAGCTGCGTTTCCAATGTTGAAATTCGTGGGCCCAGGCTGGAGCCGCGTCCCCATCTTGGGAGATGTGTTGAGGTGCTCCATCTAGAGCTGAATTTGGGTGCGTGGCACTTAATAGGATCAATCAGGGGCACCCTAAAACTATTCTATCCCAACCCCTTATGTGTACACGATTATAATGTAAATGGATACGTATATCTACTGAACTAAACCTCCAGCAAATTCGGACAATAAGTACTCAACAACATGCACTATCTCGCCTCATGTTGAGAGGAGAGAGGCACTCAAACGCACATTGTCAGTGAAAGAATGTGACGAGCGGCACAGTATCGCTCCATCCCCACATCCACTCTCTCGTCTTTCCCTTCTCCATCCTTCACTCCAAGCCCCTCCCCTCTCCGCCCTCCTTTCTCTGACCTCTTCTTTCCTCCATCCCTTCTCCATGTGATAAAAGTGTTGTTTTGAGACGTCTCTCCCTTCCTTCCCTTCTCCCTTATCATGTGGCCCTCCCTTATCCACTCTCTTCTTTCCTCCCTCCCTTCTCCAACCTCCACTTTCCACCACTCACTTCTCCATCCCTCCCTCCCAGCGACGTGCAAAACAACAGCCTCTCCGGCCCAATCACAGACTCCATGTTCCCTCCCTTATCGAAGCTCTACATCTTGTGAGACTCCCCCTAACTGCCTTCCACCCTCTGCCTTCCACCCACACTCTGAGCCTTCGCATCATGCACATCCCTTTTCTCTCTGCGCATTTTCCCTCCACGCAACAGCCAGCTCTCTAGTTTGCATTTCACAAGGTGTTTCCCTTCTGTTGCTTGCTACTCTCTCCATTCCGCAGCTCCTTGCACGTCACTTCCTTTCTCTCTTCCCATGCATCCTCTCTCACTCATACATCTCCCTTATCCCCCCATCCCCCTCCAGCCAACTCTCCAGGAACCGCTTCACAGGGGTAGTCCCACTGGTGCTCGCTCATTGCCCAAGCCTCGTGGAAGTGTGAGTGTGCCTCGTGGAAGTGTGAGTGTGCCTCAACTTAGGGTGTCATCTCATTGTCTTGATGCCTGTACCCATTCTTTACATCTACATCCTCTCGTGCCTGATCTCTGCTCTAATCTGCATGTCCTGAAATCTTTACCCTCCTCCTCTCCTCCTCTCCTCCTTCCCCTACTATCGCTTTTGTGTTTCTTCTCTATTCACCTTTCCTTTCCCCAAGCCTCCCCCTACCACCGCCCACACCACACCACACCACCCCCCCTTCCTCCCACACACACAGCAACAGGAGCGTCAGCAGCAGCATGGCATGGCACAAACTACCTCTCGTCCCACCACCCCCCGATCCCTCACCCCTCCTAACCCACACCGTGCTTTGACTCTCTTCTCTGCAACAGCAGAAGCATCAGCACTGGCATGGAGTGTCCAACCTTTCACCTCACCCCTCCATGCCCCTCCCCACCCGTCTGGGATGGCACTGGCATCAGCACTGGCATGGAGTGTCTGTTGCTTCTCTATTCCGCCCGTCCCCCACAACAACACGAGTGAGGGCATGGAGGATTGCCCTTCCTTCCAGTCACCACCCCCCTCCCTTCCCTCCTTGTGATTCTGTTCTGCCTTTTCCCACAACAACAGGAGCATCAGCGAGGGCATGGAGTGGCCCTCGCCTGCCTCTGCATGCACTCCCTTTGGGTTCGACAAAAACATTCTCTCCCTCTCCCCCCCCTCCCCCACGACAACAGGAGCATCAGCTAGGGAATGGAGTGTCCCTCTCCTGCCTCTGCCTGCACGCCCTCTCTCACATCCCTCCTCGCGTCCTCTGCTGCTCCACTTGCCTTCTGCTCTCTCTGCCCTAACTTCTGCACGGATTGCAAGGCTGGTAATGAGAGCACCGCTCCCTTAACACCACTCCCTTTGCACCACTCCCTTTACACCACTCCCTTTGCACCACTCCCTTTACACCACTCCCTTTACACCACTCCCTTTGCACCACTCCCTTTACACCACTCCCTTTGCACCGCTCCCTTGGCACTGCTCCCTTCGCCATCTGCTCTCTTTGCCCCAACTTCCTTACGCTATTCAATACAATCAATGAGAGCACCGGTTCCTTTGTTTGCACCACTGCCTGTGCCACACTCCCTTTGCACCAGTATGTTTGCACCACTTTCTCGGACCCAAGGTGTGCTTGCAGTTTTAGATTGGGGCAGAAAAATACCTCTCTGATCATTCCACTCTTTCTACCCGACGCTTCTTGCCCCTTCTGTTCACGTCACACCACTCTCCGTGCTCTCTGCTCTGCATGGACAGTGCTTTTTTGAGAATTCTCGAAAAACGCACAATGTTGCTAAGTCAAGTATATTGTACTTTACCCTGCTTATAATGAGCGCCTCTTGAATTAAAAGTCACACATAATTCTGCATTCGTTCTTTTAAAGAGTCACACATACAGCTTTCCAATTGTTCCTGGGTTACTCTCGTTCCCACACTACTCACTCGTTCTCCCTCCCTCTCTTCCTCACCCCTTCCCCTTCCATCCCCTCACTTTCAACCCCTTGTCTCCCTTGCAGCTTACCCTCCCCCCTCTCCGCCTCCTCCCAGCCCTCCTTATCCTCCTCCTCCCCTCCCTCCTCCTCCCTCTCCTCCACCTCCCCCCCTCCTCTCGCCGCCTCCACCTTCACCCCCATTGCCACCACCACCCGCACCGCCACCCGCACCGCCACCCCCACTGCCGCCCCCACTGCCACCTTCCGCAGGTATGTATGAATGAGAGGAATGGACACGCTGATAACAGGTATAGTGGCGGTCTGCTGATAACAGTATGGTGACAAACCTGCTGATAACAGGTATGGTGAAGAACCTGCTGATAACAGGTATGGTGAAGAACCTGCTGATAACAGGTATGGTGATGAACCTGCTGATAACAGGTATGGTGACGGACCTGCACAATGCATTGCATGTGCGCATGCGTGAAAGCAATGGCGGTGGCAATGGGGGTGAAGATGGAGGCGGCGAGAGGAGGGGGGGGAGAATTCTCCTTCCACCTTTAAACCCATTTGTACAAGACCTTGTTCTTTTGAGAATTCTCCTTCCTCATGTCTCCATGCATTATTTTTTGGAAATTCTTTCCTCCACACGTACCTCTTTGCCTCTTCACTTCATCCCCCCCAGTTTCTCTCTTCCCATCTGTTGTCTTCCTTATCTTCCCTCCTCCTCCCCCCTCCTCCTTCCCTTCTGTTCCGCAACACACAAAAGTCCACTCTGCCACCCAATCCGCCTCCGCCTCTGCAACGAGTTGCTTTTGAGTCCACTCAAAAGTCACCTCCTTACAATGGCACACGCACGACACTCTGGCACCCAATCCAACCCGCCTCCGTCTCGTTCTGGTTTGTTCCGCCTCCGCCTCAGCAACAATTTGCTTCTCAACATGTGAGCAGCCACGAATGAAATGAGCAGATTCTTTAATAGACTTACAAAAAATTCCTATCTTTTCCTTCTCTCTTCCCCACCCCCCCTATTCCCATATGTTCAGCAGCACAAGAGCCCGCTCTAGCACCTCTTCCGCCTCCTCCTCTCCTCGGCGCCCATTCTCTAGTCAGCTAACATGTATGCCCTTTTCCTCTCCCCCACCCACCCCATCCCCCAATCCCTTTTGGTCCACAGCACAAGAGCCAGCTCTTCCACCACCTCGTTTGAGGTTCATTTTGAGAATTCAACACCAATCTCAAAATCAACCTCAAACATTTTGGTCCACATCACAAAGGCCCGCTCTTCCACCACCTCCTCAGCACCAATGTATCCCTTCTTTGTTCTCATCGGCTAAAACGTTCTCCCTTATTTCTCTCCCCCACCCACCCCATCCCCCAATCCCCTTTGGTCAACAGCACAAGAGCCCGCTCTAGCACCTCTTCCGCCTCCTCCTCCCTCTCCCGTTCCCCAAATTCCTCCCTATCCCCCTCCCTCACTTCCTCCCTCTCCCCCTCCCTCACCTCCTCCCTCTCCCCCTCCCTCACCTCCGTTACCCCCACCCCCACCCCCTCCTCCCTACCCTCCTCCCCCTCCCCGCCCCCCCTCCCTCATCTCCCGCCGTTCCCCAGCTCCTCCTCCCAAACCTCGTAAGTTCCCAGACCGCAAGTACGTAAGTCTCGTAAGTTGCTCATTCCAGGCTGTACCTCAGAGTTGGAAAGATATTTTCCCTGCTCAGGTGGTTTGTCAGGTAATTTCATGAATACTTTCTGTGTATTGTCAAGATTCAGTTAATATTATTTGAATCGTATGATGACTTTAACGTGAGAATATATACATATTCTGGTGGGGCTAATAATGTAATCGTTGTGGTGCTAAATTTGTTTTCTTGGTCTAAAGTTGTTGTTTCCATTCCCTGTGTTCCATTTTCCCCTCCCGCACAGCACTCCCACCACCACCATCCCCGCCACCACCGTCACCACCCCCACCATCCCCACCACCACCATCACCACCCCCACCATCCCCACCATCACCATCACCACCACCACCATCCCCACCCCCACCGTTCCCACTCCCACCATCCCCACCATCACCATCACCATCACCATCACCAACCCCACCGTCCCCACCACCACCATCACCACCACCACCATCCCCACCACCACCCCCGCCACCACCATCACCACCACCACCATCCCCACCCCCACCATCCCCACCACCACCACCACCATCACCACCCCCACCATCCCCACCACCACCATCCCCACCACCACCATCACCACCACCACCATCCCCACCACCACCATTCCCCACCACCACCATCCCCACCACCACCATCACCACCCCCACCATTCCCACCACCACCAGACATCTAACCTCCTCCAAGTGCTCAAGCCCCACTGCTTTACCACCGCCAGCAGCAGAAGCACCAGCGTCACCAGCAGCAGCCACACCACCAGCAGCACCAGCGCCAGCAGCCAGTGCTTAAGGTTTAGGCAACCCCAGCAGAGTCACTATCCTAAACCCGAAACCCCCACCAACTCCAACCCCCCTAATCCCTAACCCGTAACTAAACCTGAAATCTTATACATGTAACCCCAATTCCTAAACCCTGGAACCTTAAGTCCGAAACTCTTGAATCCTTATTTCTAGACCCTCGAACCCTAGTTCCTACACCTTCGAGCACTAATTAAGAAACCTTCAAACCTTAACTCCCTAACCCTTGAGGCCTAATTGCTAAACCTTGAGCTTTACTGGTCCCAGCACAACCACCATCATCATCAGCATTACCATCACCATCACACCATCACCATCAACACTAGCAGCATCATGTGCAACAGCACCACCGCTGCCATCAGCCATTAAGGCAAACACTTGCTGCCTTCGGGATACTACTCCGATGTATCCCCGATGAGGTCTAAATGTATACACTACACGTTTCAAATGTAAATATTCTGTAATAATGTACAGTAGATGAGCTGCAGGGAGGCGATAGGATCCCTGATGGAGGGCAAACAAGGCCTGTCTAGGAGGACACGGACCTCTAAAACAAATCGGGTTGATTCACATGCAAGATGTGTATTGTATTAGTGTATTGCCTCTGGTGCTAGTTAAGCGGGGATTATTTTTACGGCTACTGATATTGAAATGATGTTTTGATGATAAAACCTCGGTACAGCCAAAACAAGGTACCGTCATCGCCCGGATATAAGACATATATGTCTTATCTTGTACACGGGCAAAAATGCTTGAGTTATCTTGTAAACGGGATGGTTTAGGGTGTCTTATAAGTCTTACAAAACAGAAAAAATTTCAAGTTGAATGTAACACTTGCAAAGTGTGTAGAAACCACCCATGGACCAGATTCATTGAAGCAGGCCAACCTCGGTGGTGATGCATGCAGCGCCCACACTTGCCACGTGAGGGAGCTGCCACTGCTGGCAACATTCCTCAGTGCTGGCAGCATCTACCATCAGCCCCCGGATAGAAGCATCCCTGGGGGTATAAAAAAACACTGTTTTTTAGGGGGTGCGCTTATATTTGAGGATTTTTATAAGTGCCGGGGCTTATATAATGACATATATGAAATCTAGTTTTTTTTACACTAAAGTGTTCATCTCGTCCTTGAGATTTGAATTGAATCGATATTGTAGAGAGCATTGAACCCTATATCTATATCTCGTCCTTAGAGAGCGAGATACCCTAAACCCTAGGATTATATGAATGGAAAGGTGTGGTTGTTTAGGGTAAATATTCTGATTGCTAAGAACATTCTTTATTAGCAAGTTATTCTTGTTCTGTTCAAATTATTTGGTTTTAGGGGGACTGGAAATCTGGAACAACAAAGTTACAATTGCAGAATAGAACATTCCTTTAAGAACAGTGTACAAGACTAGCTTCGAACCTCCGACCTCCGGGATAAAACGTTTCTTCTACAGCGCTGTGATAAACTCGCTGACCAATTTGTGCCTTAAACTTACTGGAGTCCGTGTGCGCTGAAAACGTACCATCCTAGGGTTTTGTCAAATGTCTCTTTGCTACGTTTCTCTTCCACCTAGTCAGATTACTCTAGCTTTCTACGCCACTCACGCCACTCACTCATGCAGACTAAAGCTCCTAGTTAAGGTAAGCCTCATTCTCTCTATTCTTAAGCTCATTCTAGTTCAGAGTGGGTTCTAGTTTAGCTCATTAAGGTTGAGAGTTGTTTTTTTCGACGAGATCTAGATTGTTTCTTAACCTCGCTTTCTTCCTAGGTTATGCCCCGTACTTTTGATCTCTCCTTCCCTCTCCTTCTCTCCACTTCTTCCCATCTTCTTCTCTCTTTTATTTCGATTTACATTCTACTTGCTTGCTCTTTTCAGCTCCTGCTCTTACTTTTGTCTTCTTCCGTACGCTGTTTCTTGATTTTTTCCTCTTCCTTCATTGAACTTTGAAATGATATTAACAACTATGTTCAGAGAGTTAAATTACTAGGTAGGAGCATTTTCTTTCTCCTTCTCTCTCTCTCTCTCTCTCTCTCTCTCTCTCTCTCTCTCTCTCTCTCTCTCTCTCTCTCTCGTTCTCCCTTTCCCTCGTTCTGTCGTTCTCTCTCGTTCTCTCGTTCTCTCTCTCTCTCATTCTCTCTCTCGTTCTCTTGCTCTCGCTCTCGTTCGTTCTCTCTCGTTCTATCTCGCTCGTTCTCTCTCTCTCTCTCTCTCTCTCTCTCTCTCTCTCTCTCTCTCTCTCTCTCTCTCTCTCTCTCTCTCTCTCTCTCTCTCTCTCGTTCTCTCCCTCTCGTTCTCTCTCGTTCTCTCTCAATCGTTCTCTCTCTCTCTCTCTCTCGTTGTCTCTCTCGTTCTCTCTCGTTTTCTTTCTCTCTCGATTTCTCTCTCTCGTTCTCCGTCTCTCGTCCTCTCTCTCTCGTTCTCTCTCTCTCTCTCTCTCACTCTCTCTCTCTCTCTCTCTCTCTCTCTCTCTCTCTCTCTCTCTCTCTCTCTCTCTCTCTCTCTCTCTCTCATTCTGAGGTGAGCTTAGGTCTTCTAGGCTAGTATTGTTGTTTTCATTCTAAGATTAAGAGAGTAAGGTATCTCGATTCAGAAAGAAGTACTTCGTGATTGGTGCTACCACATGAAACAACACAATCTGTGAAGTCTAAAAACGAGATCAATCTACCAAATCCTGTTCAAGTGAGCGTAGCCGTTCGAGTGTAACTCAATGAACCTTTGGGAAATGATAGAACTGATTCTCATTTCTAAAAACCACAGACATGCATTGTTAATGAAATAATAGATGGATAATGATATGGTAGTTGAATGCCACACATACGGACACATACGCACGCAATCAGACCGGCACACGCACGCACTAGAAGCTCGGAACAAGCCAATGCATAAAGAACTTACGAAGGAAAAAAAAAAAAAAAAACACAGAAGATGCAAAAGATCACTACCAAGCAATACAACACAATTAGACCTAATCGCCACAAATGTGATTGTTCCTCCTTTAGAAAGGATCTTCAATTACCGAATGGTACAGCAAAGCCTCTGAAAAGTAGGAACTAGGGAAACGAAAGGGGGGAAATGGGAAATAGAAGTTGAGGGGATATAGATGTCGACTTTGAGAAAAAAAAAAACACAAGCTGGCTTTCTGAACACAAATAGCAGGGAATAGGAGTAAACGGAAAAGAAGAAAGAAAAAAAAGTAAGAAGAAAAGTCCAAAGAGCTACACGTAGGTAAGAATGGAAAAGTACAGAACAAAGGAAAGAAGAATGATCATCGAAAGAAGGGGAGAGGAATAGAAATGCAGAGAGGGAGAAGATACCTCATATTCAAAATGCTGAAAATTTTTCTCCACTAACTTGAGAGAGAGGGAGAAGATACCTCATGTCTGTGGTTTTTAGAAATGAGAATCAGTTCTATCATTTCCCAATGGTTCATTGAGTTACACTCGAACGGGTACGCTCACTTGAACAGGATTTGGTAGATTGATCTCGTTTTTAGACTTCACAGATTGTGTTGTTTCATGTGGTAGTTGATTATTCAAAAGCTAAGCTATTGACCTCCCCCCCATGCTAGGCAGGGGATGGCGGTAGCTTAGTTTTGGGTTGTTAACTGTCACGCATTTTATCATGCGCATGTGCATCATTTTATCATGTACATATCACATGCATTGTATAACAACATTCTATGCATTATGCATTGTATAGCAACATTCTATGCACTATGCATTGTATAGCTTCATTTATGCATTATGCATGCATCTCTTCATCATTACACAACATCATCTAATAGTAACATATAATGCCAACAGTACAGCAAATCTACACTTAGCAGTTGCGAAAAAAATCATATGATTCAATGCACTATGAACAGTACTCAATTCAAAACTGCTCAACATGAATACAGTATGGGAAGGGTATTACTGTAGTTGACAAAGTTTATTTTCATGATTTTATTAAAAAATATAAATATGAAAATAAAATTTGACAAAATCGATTGTAATGGGTTGCTTCGCAACCCAAAAATAAAATTTGGCAAAATCGATCGTAATGGGTTGCTTGGCAACCCAAAAATATTACAGAGGGTGGCGCTTTTAACCCGTAAGTCTTCAGGGGTGCGCTCATAATCGAGGACCGGATATAAGCGCCAGGGCTGACGCTATCAGAGTAAATAGTCTGATTAGTCTGACGGATCAGACCATCGAGTTTGTGAAAAATGGAATTCCAGAGTAGTCAAATTTTCATCACTAAGAGCCTCAGAGTTATTGTTTTATGGCCCCTGATTCAGTGTAATAGGCCTAAGTGTTAGTCATTTATGGAGTCTGTCACTACAGAGAATGCTTTCTTTGGTCCCTGCATGCAAGTTTATCGGGAGGAAGCCTCCTCGAAATTTCCTTTCGATACACCCACCTCCGAGGTTCACTAGTGAGGGTCAAACTGGTGAGTCAAACCCGTCTTGACTTGTCACAGCACCAGCGTCATTAAAAATTCGCGTTGACAATGCGAATTCGCGCTGTACGGAGCAACGAATTTGCCCAATCACAGCGAAATGGCCCTGACACAGCAGATTTGAGCTGTCAGAGCACAAAGGTCTTGACCAATCACAGTAAAATGTATCTAACATTGCACATTCGCCCTTTCACAGAACAGATTCGCCATCAAAGTTCAGTTTCGATAATGCACAGCGCACCCTACACGTACCCTGATCGTGACTTCTCGACCCTGAACACTCAGACTGTATAACTTCCCAACACTGAGCAATCAGGGTGCTGCTTTTCTGGAAAATATGCCTTCAGTGTTAAATTTTTTTTTTTAGGTGGACATCAGGGTACCTAAATTTGAAACGTCAGCCCTGATAAGCGCCCTCATCCTTTTATAAGCGCCGGCGCTTATCCGAGGCCTGCGCTTCTATCCGGGGGCCTACGGTAATGATGCTGCCAGCGCCGTTTTGCTGCCACCAGCGCAGGGATGCTTCCAGAACGCTGCTGGCAGCACATTGGCAGCGTGAGGGCTGTCCTCTACGAGATGCCTCGTAGAGGAGCGGCTCGGCACCTGTGGATGGGGCACTCTGGCTGGAGGGGGTAGTCGGGCTCTCACTTCATTTGGTGCAGGTGAGGAGGCGGTGACTGAGGGAGGTTAGGTAGAAGTAGAGATTCATGAATGTATGCATGTACCCCCCTAAAGTAAGGAAGGCTCATTTAGAAGACACCCCCTGTTTATAAGAAAACCCCTATACCCCGGTTCTGATTATAAGACATATATGTCTTATCTCATACACATAAATAGGTGTCGTATAAAAAGGCTGGCCTGTTTATAAGAGACACCCGTATAATAGACAACCCCTGTCTACTATTCAACAGTGTCTTATATCCGGGCGATGACGGTATATGAGATGCACATGACATGGGTGAGGGAAGGTACGGTAGTGAAAGCATCACTGAAACTACTGCGCATGATCTCCCAAGCGAAACAAGATGAGTGCCACTGAAGCACCCACGAGATTCGGCAGCCATCCACCCAGCAGCGGACTGATCACATGCAGCTGCAAGGAGAGTCAAGCGCAGCACAAAGAGTAGAGAAGAATGCAATTGTTGAAAGGCTTGGTCAAACTACTCTGCATTATCTTCCAAGTGGAACAACAAGACTAGCGCCAGTGATGCACCCACGAGATTTGGCAGCCATCAACCCAGCAGCGGACTGATCATGTGCAGCTGGACAGAGAGACAAGTGCGGCAAGAAGAGCGGGGGAAAAAAAAAAAAACGGGGGGGGGGGGGGGGGGGTGGGGTGGGGGGGGGGAGGGGGGGGGGGGGGGCAACTAAGAAACAAACACCCAGCGGCGGACTGACTGGTCGTGCGAAGCTGGACAGAGAGATAAGTACGGCAAGAAGAGTGGGAAACACTTTTTTATTCGCCTAGAATCAGGCACCCAGCAGAGGACTGACTGATCACATGCAGCTGACAGGAGAGTCGCGTGCAGCACCCAAAGAGTGAAAAACAGATTCTGGGGCGCCTAAGGATTTAACACCCAGCAGCGGACTGATCACGTGCAGCTGATCACGGCCTCAAAAGTAGGTGCCTCAAAAGTAGGTGCCTAAAGTAGGTGCCTCAAAAGTACGGTAGGTACCTCAAAAGTAAATCTTATGTACCTGGGCAAGAAGGACGCCGGTGACAGAGAGAGAGTAGTAGGTGAATATGACAAAGACTGCCAGAGCGAAGCCAACCTGCATGGGAGGAGGGGTGATTGGGGTTGAAAGGGGAAGCACGGGAGGATAGTGAATGGGGCAAGCATGCCGGTGAGGGAAAGAGAGAGAGCAGTAGGTGAAGATGAGAAGGACAGCGAGGGCACAGCCAACCTGCATGGAAGGGATGATTGGGGACGGAGGAAACGAGGGGAAATTTCATGGCACACTGCACATAGCATCGGGAAAGGGGGATGCCGGTGAGGGAGAGAGAGAGTAAGCCAATCTGCACAGATGGGTGATTTGAAAGGGGCAGAAACTTATGAGGTGCCTTGAAAGCCAGAGCGAAGCCAGCCTGCAGGCTGCATGGGTGTGATAAATGTGGGTAGGAAGGAGCAAGAGAGGCAGCGCACATCTTTACCTCACTACCATGGGGTTTGATCCGTCGTCCTAGAACCATTCAAGTTGATAGAAATGAGACCTCCGCAGCCCACCTGTCCACTACTGATAGCAGCACGCATCTCCACCTCACCACCAAAAAACTTCAAAAATAAGGGGCACCGCGCATAGCACCAGGCTAGTAAAACACGGTGAGGGAGAGAGGGTGGCAGGAGAAGAGGACGAAGAGAGGCAAGGCGAAGCCTATTTGCATGGGTGGGATGTGTGGGGGTAGAGGGCCACTCACGAGGGGAAGAAACTGCATGAGTACCCTCTTTTGAGTACCACTCATGAGGGTGTTATTGAGAATTCTCAAAAACAACCCTAAAAAAGGGCCAGAAACTGCGAAGACAATGTATGTGGAACGAGGGGAAGTGACGTGCCTAATGAAACCCTTCCGTTTCTAATCCCCTCACATGTGGCTTTCTGATCTGCAGGTGTTGGGCAGGGAGGAGTGATGTAAGAGAGGTTAGAAGTGCCGTGGCAATTGCATTGCAAACAAGTGGTGGCTTCCTACCTTTTACTTCCTCACCTGTCGCTTTTTTTTAGTCGAATCAAAAACTTCCTCACCTGTCACTTTCCCCTCACCTGCCGGTTCCACTCTCACCTACCTGCCGCGTTCTGATCAGCAGGTGGGCGGCAAAGACAGCCAAGGAGGGCGAAGGAGAGTGCCTATTGCAACCAGGGTTTGAGGTTTGGGGCTCCCTACTTTATACTTTCTCACCTGCCGCTTTCTGATCTGCAGGTGGGCGGCGAAGAGAGCTCCAAGGAGGGCAAAGAGGAAGGTGGCACACGGCAGAGCCACTCGCTGGTGAATCTTCACCTGCAGGTGGGAACGGTGCAGGGTATGTTACTCTTGACAAGTTGACTTTCAGAGGGGGGAACGGTGGAAATGGTGCAGGGTATGTTACTCCTGACAAGTGCAGACAGAGGGGGCTTAGGAGGGCAAAGAGGAAGGTGGCACATGGAAGAGCCACCCGTTGGTGAATCTTCACCTGCAGGTGGATGGGCATGGGGAAGGGTAAATTGCTCTTGAAAAATGCAGAGAGGGTAGGAGGGCGAAGAGGAAGGTGGTGTATGGCAGGGCGACTCACCCGCTGATGAATCTTCACCTGTAGTTGAGCACAGCGCAGGGTATATTGCTCTTGAATCTATAAAGTACTTCTGGCTTAGGAGACAGGAAAACCATAACATACCCTTGAAAAAAGGGTTTCCACACACTCTCGAAATTTCTATCATGCAAGAGAAGAGCAGGCAAGTTGGAATGGAAACGGGTCACTTTTCACCAACACACATGACAAGAATGTAATGGAATATCAAGATCAAGACAAGCATCATCTCCCTGCCATACCATCCCGCATGTGATGAGTCGATTTTTTAGTCATACCATCCCCAAAATCGACTCATCTCCCTGCCATACCATCCCACATGTGATGAGTCGATTTTTTAGTCATACCATCCCTAAAATCGACTCATCTCCCTGCCATACCATCCCGCGTGTGATGAGTCGATTTTTTAGTCATACCATCCCTAAAATCGACTCATCTCCCTGCCATACCATCGCGCGGGTGATGAGTCGATTTTTTAGTCATACCATCCCTAGAATCGACTCATCTCCCTGCCATACCATCCCCATGCAGCTCTCTTGTGTCCGCCTTGTGGTGTCCACAGTCGCAATCCCCACTGTTGCTACTCACATCACGCATCTCGGTACAATCACAGCAGTCCCCTTCAGTGGAGTCACAACCCACCAGAACAAGCATGAGTGGTGCTTTTTTATATACCACGCCCACCAATTGGTTCGTCACCTCCTTGCTCATGCAAGCACACATGCACCGGCTGCACTTACCTACCTAGACCACATCCACCACACCCGAGTGGTGCTTTTTCATACCACGCCCACCAAATGGTTCGTTATCTCCTTGCTCCTCCAAACACGCATGCACCGGCTGCACTTATCTACGCCACACCCACCCCACCCCACCACAAGCACTGCACCCACCAGTCTTCGTCTGGCCTCCTTATCATTGCAGCAGCAGTGGTAAAGCTGCTGCAGGCGCACCACCTGCAGCGGCGATAGATGTGTGAGGAGCACCCGCCTACAGCCATTGTAGCTGCACCACCCCACCCCCACCACACCTACCACATGCACCCACCCCACCAGTCTTCGTGTGACCTCCTTATTATTGCAGCAGCTGCAGTACAGCTTGTGCAGCAACACCACCTGCAGCAGCTGCAGTACAGCTTGTGCAGCAACACCACCTGCAGCAGCTGCAGTACAGCTTGTGCAGCAACACCACCTGCAGCAGCTGCAGTACAGCTTGTGCAGCAACACCACCTGCAGCAGCGATAGGTGTGTAGAGGCACCCGCCTACAGCCCCTGCAGCTGCACCATACCCCACCACAGCCCACCACACTCACCACTCCCTCTCACCACACCCACAAACCCTTACCAGTATCCGTGTGGCCTCCCGGTCATTACAGCAGCGGCGTTACAGCCCTTGTCATCGCATCACTCACACACCACACCCACCAACCTGACTTACCAGTATCCGTGTGGCCTCCCGGTCATTACAACAGCGTTGGTACAGCCCCTGCAGGCGCACCACCTGCAGCAGCGGCATGTCGTCCAAACTGCAACTGCCGTCCGCCTCTGCGAGGTCTAGCGGTCCACGACTCAGGGTGAACTCCCCTGCAAGAGAAAAAACAAGGTAAGAAAAACTTGTGAGAGATAGTATGGAGAAGCATGATTGGGTGCGACTGCCTCTGCCTCTGACACGCCACTCTTGTGGCCCACGGGGAAACACTCTGCTGCTGCAGTTTGAGTGGCTTGAAGATAGCCACACCACCAGCAGGAGACGCGTGTCATCCAGGTCCAGCGGCCCGCGATCTAGGGTAAATTCCCCTGCGAAAAGAGATGCAACCAGAACGTGTGAGTGAGAGCGAATGGGCGGAGAGAACCGTTAGTTGGTTGGTGGCACCCATGAAGGAGAATGGGTTAGGTGGTGGCACCTGCAATGCCAGCCAAGGCACTTGCTAGTTGGTCCCCTGCTTGCAGGCAACTGCAAGCACTGTTCAGTTTGGGACTGCACCTGCATCGGATTGGCTGATGGCACGGCACGGCCCTGTTGGGACTGATGAAATGAGACACAGACCCCATCTGAACCACGCGCGTGGAGGAAGACTCACGGTGCTCTGTGAACGGCCGTGCTGCCGCGAGCACCCACGATGGCCTGCTTAGCTCATCGTTGCTTCTGATACCACCCAGTTTATCGTCTCCGCTCTGCTGCTGCTGCTGCTGCTGCTGCTGCTGCTGTTGGTCTTCAGCTGGTGCTGCTTGCGTGCGTTGTGCCCCTTGTGCCACACCTGCTGCTGCTGCGACAGGTTTCTCAGGTGCTTCAAGCTGCCCTCTCCTTCCCTCTCTCTGCTGCTGCTGCCGCTCCACCTCGTGCCTCCCTCTGGCTGTTCTCTCCCTCTGCTGCAGTCTACCTCTGCCCTTGTTGCCATGCCTCCCACCATGCGCCCTTCCCACGCCACCCCGACCTCTCTGCTGCCTCCTGCTCCCCTGCTGCTCCCCTCCCCTCTCTGTATTCCCGGACGCTGCTTCTTGTGCATTCGGCTGCTGCTCATACAGAACCACATGCCCTTGCACCTTCCCAAGCTCACCAGTGGGTGGCAGTGATGGCAGTGAAACCAGTGGTGCATGCAACTGCTCTCTGGTCAGTGTGTTGTGAACGGCAGGTGAGGGGAGGTGCAAGCCAGATGAGGAAACAAGCACATGCTCTATGCCATTAACAAAAAACCAGTGACCTGGCCGATTAGTCAGTGCCTGGTCGTGCTTGTACAGAGTACGGATGGTCGTTAAGAAACCCAGATTGAGGGTGACGGAGGAGAAGCGGAAGGGGGGGGAGGGGCGCGAGGGAGGGACCCAGGAAGCACTCTCAGCTGCAATGACCCGAACCACACTGCCTGCATCTGCATGCGTGCTTGATGCTGCTGATGATGATGTTGATAATGCCAGCGATGCTGATGATGATGTCAATTGTGAGGGCCCTGATGCTGACGGTACTGCAGATAGTGATGATGATGGCGGTGGTGGTATCAGTGCCTGTTGCGAGACGAGTGGTCGCGAGGCGATAGAGGATGCGGATAACAGTGACTGCAACGAATGTGATTGTAACGAGGAGGAGGACGGCATGTGCTCAGTGTTGGTGTTGGAGTTGGTGCGGGCTCCGCTCTGATCCACGAGTGTGACTTGCTGCATCTCCCCATGCTCACATCGCCTGGCGTAGAAGAGAGAGCGTAGATCCCCGCTCTTGCTGCCAGGGCAACCAGGGGGGCACAACGGAAAGAAAGAACTTGAGGAGACATGGAAGCTGGAAGAACTTAAAGGGGGGTGGCCAAGCAGGGCAAGCGGGAAGGGGGTACAAGGGGTACGTAAAGCATGTGTGATACAGCAGCGATTCGTATTTGGAATGGCGCAGGTTTGGATCTTACTACTCGAATTTCCTTCTGAGTCGACTCAAAGCACGGCTTCTCTTGCCTCCCGAGTCAAGCCAGCTCTTTCCTCCCATCCTATCATCTCACCTGAAGCTGGGGAAGACGATGGGATGGCGCATGTTTGCCTTGTGCTGCTGTTGACGCCCTGAAACCTGCACACGCGCATTGGTGATGGTAGCATCACATGCCCATGGCATAGCTCGTATCAAATCAAATAATGACGTGTCTCAAAAAAATCGCATTCGCTAACGACCCTAATACGGAGAGCTGGTTTTCCCTTTGCATGTACGCAATGAGTTTCTTCTATGTAAAGTAGATGTTGCAGGGTTTGTTTTTAGAATTCTCAAAAAATCTATGTAAAGTAGATGTTGCAGGGTTTGTTCTTAGAATTCTCAAAAAATCTATGTGAAGTAGATGTGCGCCTCAAAAGTCGCTGAACAACAGGGGCAACAGGGACTGGACTGGACAGGGGCAAAGAGGTACCACAGAGGGAGAGCCTGTAGGTGTTACAGGCATCGCACAACAGGCGGCAGGTTCTACAGGCACTGCACAATAGACGGCAGCTGCTGCAGGTTTCTAGAAAGGGTCGACATACAGAGAGAAGCTGGTGTAGGTGGTGGGGTGAGCGAGCAGAGCGCACTGCCCTGACCATGCGAGATGCACGGTAGTTGGTGAAGGGAGCGAGGAGCTGCAGGGGTGATGAGGGGTCATGAGGGGTCATGAGGGGTGAGAAGTGGTGCGGAGGGGTAAAAAGGAGCCGAAGGGTTTGTCAGATGCATTGTGGAGCAGAGCGCACCGCCCTGACCATGAGAGAAGTGCGATGGTTGGTAAAGGGAGCAAGGAGCTGCCGGGATGATGAGGGGGGATGAGAGGCGATGAGCGGTGATGAGGGGTGAGGAGGGGTGAGGAGGGGTGACAAGGGGCGAAAGGGTTCATCAGATGTATCGTGCAGCAGTGCAGCATAGGCAGCATGGCTATGTGTGAGGAGGTGGAGGAAAGGGAGGAGAATGGTAGTGGGCAGGTGATGAGGAGTGGGACGGAAATATTGGATGGGAGGTGATGCGGGGTGGGGTGGGAGAAAAATAGTGGAGGGAAGGTGGTGAGGGGTAGGAGGAAAATAGTGGAGGAGGGGTGATGAGCGGTGGGAGGACATCCAACGCTCAAGCTTATCAATGAGGTGTGAGGAGGGGTGATGTCCTTACTTCTGAGACGCTACGATGTCTACTACCGGATGGATGGTGGTGGGTGAAGTGAATGAGGTCAGCAGGTAAGGGACATGGCGGGAGAAGCGAGCATGCATGGCGGGAGAAGAGGGCATGCAGTGCTACATACATATATACATACCTCAGCCCAGGCGTAGTGCAGCAGAGTGCAGGCGAGGAAGAGATAAGCCGCGACGGTTAGAAAGCGAGTCATGCGTATACCCGATGCGCGAATGGCTGGGGGGGGGGAAATGGAGTGGGAGGAAGGGCACGAGGGAGAGGGGGAGCGGTGAATGAGGGAAGGACGGAAGGAAGGAAGGAAGGAAGGAAGGAAGGAAGGAAGGAAGGAAGGAAGGAAGGAAGGAAGGAAGTAAGGGAGGACTCTAAGGAAATACGTTACGGGAATGCCTGATGCGCGGATGGCTGTGAGGTGGCAGTTGGGGGAGGGAGGTCAAAAGGGAGATGGCACATGGGAGGTGAGTCACGAGAAAATAAGGGGGTCACAGCCATGGTAGATGCTTCTTTATAATCTTCTAAGTCGTATGTAAATAAGTGGGTCATGGGAACGGCAGACGTGCTAGTAAAATCTTCAAACTCGTTTATGAATAAGCAGGTCGTGGAAAAGATGGGCGATGCTTGGATTGGATGGATGGCTGCATGGCAGAATGAGGGCACGCTGGTAGACGGCGGAGGCGTGTTGTTCTCTGAGGCGCCTCAAAAACGATTTTTGAGGCGCCTCAAAAACAGGTCGTGGGAAAGATGGGCGATGCTTGGATTGGATGGATGGCTTGCTGCATTGCATGGCAGAAAGAATGAGGGCACGCTGGTAGTTGGAGGAGGCGTGTCGTTTGCTGTTTGACAAGGACATGGGCACGGATGCCCTTGTAGTTGGCGGAGGCGTGTCGTTTGCTGTTTGACAAGGACATGGGCACGGATGCCCTTGTAGTTGGCGGAGGCGTGTCGTTTGCTGTTTGACAAGGACATGGGCACGGATGCCCTTGTAGTTGGCGGAGGCGTGTCGTTTGCTGTTTGACAAGGACATGGGCACGGATGCCCTTGTAGTTGGCGGAGGCGTGTCGTTTGCTGTTTGACAAGGACATGGGCACGGATGCCCTTGTAGTTGGCAGAGGCGTGTCGTTTGCTGTTTGACAAGGACATGGGCACGGATGCCCTTGTAGTTGGCGGAGGCGTGTCGTTTGCTGTTTGACAAGGACATGGGTACGGATGCCCTTGTAGTTGGCGGAGGCGTGTCGTTTGCTGTTTGACAAGGACATGGGCACGGATGCCCTTGTAGTTGGCGGAGGCGTGACGTTTGCTGTTTGACAAGGACATGGGCACGGATGCCCTTGTAGTTGGCGGAGGCGTGTCGTTTGCTGTTTGACAAGGACATGGGCACGGATGCCCTTGTAGTTGGCGGAGGCGTGTCGTTTGCTGTTTGACAAGGACATGGGCACGGATGCCCTTGTAGTTGGCAGAGGCGTGTCGTTTGCTGTTTGACAAGGACATGGGCACGGATGCCCTTGTAGTTGGCGGAGGCGTGTCGTTTGCTGTTTGACAAGGACATGGGTACGGATGCCCTTGTAGTTGGCGGAGGCGTGTCGTTTGCTGTTTGACAAGGACATGGGCACGGATGCCCTTGTAGTTGGCGGAGGCGTGACGTTTGCTGTTTGACAAGGACATGGGCACGGATGCCCTTGTAGTTGGCGGAGGCGTGTCGTTTGCTGTTTGACAAGGACATGGGCACGGATGCCCTTGTAGTTGGCGGAGGCGTGTCGTTTGCTGTTTGACAAGGACATGGGCACGGATGCCCTTGTAGTTGGCAGAGGCGTGCCGTTTGCTGTTTGACAAGGACATGGGCACGGATGCCCTTGTAGTTGGCGGAGGCGTGTCGTTCTCCCCTTTTCACGCTGTTCCCTTGGCACTGGGAGAATGAGCGCATGAGAGACGAGAGGGGAGAACGAGCAGCCGTGACGGCGAGGAGAGAGGAGCGTGATATGCTACGGATGGGTTTCAGGCCATTGCAAGGTGAATGACGCGAACAAAGAGGGTTGTAAATGGAGAATGGGTGGGAGGGGACACGCGCTGGTGGGCGAGGCAGGGTGTGGGTGGGAAAGGAGAGGGGGGTTGTAACTTGTACCCAACCCAGGAACACATTGTGGGAGGACATGCTATGGATGGGACGTGTGTGAGGTGCATTCATGTCATTGCAAGGCGCATGGTTGGGGGTGGGGGGAGAAGGGCGAGGGGATTGTACCCACAACCTCATTGTCAGATGGCATGCGTGCAAGGCAGAGCAGAGGCGCCAAGAGAAGGAGGCGTGAGTGAGTGGGGTGCCATTGCAAGGTGTTGGCAGACGGGGTCGGGGACAACCAATGGGGGGCCCACGCCAGGATTCGTCTTGGCTGCGAGGTACCTCCAATGGTACATGCCCCGGCACCAGAGCCCACTGTGGGGGTTACATGTTACCTTCCCCTCTCAAGCCAACGCCCATCAGGGTACGGCTGTCCCCGAAATGGGGCACGCGCTTGTGGTGATCGATGGGGGTTTTAGCAATTAAATGCACAGCCGGTATAATGCTGCTTACTGAAGCGCCTACCCCCTACGGGGGCCTGGTTTTTTCCGGGGATCTCCTTAAAGCCCCAAAAAAAAAAAAAAACAAATTGCAAGGTGTTATTGCGGCGGGGGAAGAAGGGTGAGGGGGGTGTACCCACAACCTCATTGTCGGACGACATGCATGCGAGGCAGAGCAGTGGTGCGAGAAGAATAGGGAGCAGCGACACAATTGCAAGGAGGATTTGTGCCGTCAAAAGGTGTGTGAATGGGGTGGGGGGAGGGAGGAAGGGCGAGGGGGTTGTACCCACAACCTCATTGTCGGAGGACATGCGTGCGAGGCAGAGCAGCGGCGCCAAGAGAGACGCCATTGGGAGAGTGAGCCCCACGTAGAACTGCGGTGATGAGGAGGGGAGGGGGGATGGTGGGATGTCCTTTGACTCGAATCAGAAGTCAGCTCGAGGCAGCGCAGAGCACAGAGCAGCGGCGCCAAGAGAGACGCCATTGGTGCCAAGAGTGATGCCATGGGGAGAGTCAACCCCATGTAGAACTGCGGTGTGATGGAAAGATGGGGATGAGGGGGGTGATGGGATGATCCGGAGAGTGAGAGGTTGGGTGAAGAGAGCAGTGGTGCCAAGAGTGATGCCATGGGGAGAGTCAACCCCATGTAGAACTGCGGTGGGATGGGATGGGAAGATGGGGGAATGTTTGGATGGGGGAATGTTTGGATGGGGGAATGTTTGGATGGGGGAATGTTTGGATGGGGGAATGTTTGGATGGGGGAATGTTTGGATGGGGGAATGTTTGGATGGGGGAATGTTTGGATGGGGGAATGTTTGGATGGGGGAATGTTTGGATGGGGGAATGTTTGGATGGGGGAATGTTTGGATGGGGGAATGTTTGGATGGGGGAATGTTTGGATGGGGGAATGTTTGGATGGGGGAATGTTTGGATGGGGGAATGTTTGGATGGGGGAGCACGGAGGGAAAAGGGGGGGTGGGGAGGCGAGTTGTGGGTCATGTCCTATATTGAATGAGAGTTGGATCGTATGCAACCTATTAATATGTATGCAAAGTATATGCTAATCAAGCAAAGTATACGCCAATGCAGATCAGTCAAGTAGGATAGGAGAGCTAAGGAAACCGGAAACGAGGGGAGGGAGTGGGAGTTGGTGGGGGCGGAGTGGGGGGGGGGGGGGGAGGGGAAGTATAAAAGCGGGCTGGAATGAATGAAGATGAAGGGAAGTGGCGCTCACAGGGGTGCGCAGCAGCACTCACAGGGGTGCGCAGCAGCGCTTACAGGGGTGCGCAGCAGCGCTTACAGGGGTGCGCAGCAGCGCTTACAGGGGTGCGCAGCAGCACTCACAGGGGTGCGCAGCAGCACTCACAGGGGTGCGCAGCAGCACTCACAGGGGTGCGCAGCAGCACGATCTGCAGTGTGTAGAATGCCTTGTGGAGGACAGACGGCAGGGCAGCAGACTGGAAAACTGTCATTGCCTCGGGGGCGGTCGCTGGGAGGGCAGGCGGGGGAGAGGCGAGGAGCGGGGGAGAGGGGAGGAGTGGGGGAGAGGGGAGGAGTGGGGGAGAGGGGAGGAGTGGGGGAGAGGGGAGGAGTGGGGGAAGGCAGGCAGGGGAGCAGCACGATCTGCAGTGCGTGGAGGGCCTTGTGGACCTAGAAAAGTGTCATTCATTGCCTCAGAGGCAGTCGCTGCGAGGGCAGGCGGGGGAAGGAGAATGTACGGAGGGCAAAGGGGGTGAAGCAGGCAGGAGGGGGGCGGAGAGGAAGAGGCCATGGGTAAGCTGAGAGAGAGGGTCTTGTGGATCACCAACGGCAGCAGGGCAGAGGACTGAACCTCTGCCACGCCTCGTTGGCTTGGCAGACGCTGGGCAGGCAGGTGGGGTGGGGTAAAGGTCACAAGGAGGGGATGTGTGCCTAGAAAATGGGGAAAGGGACGCGCGGAAGGGAAGTTGAGAAAAGTGGGTCGAAAACGAGGGCGGGGGACAGTAACTCCCTTCAGTTTCCACCCACACTCATCAGGGGCAGTAATACGGCGAGCACCAGGCGAGTGAACGCTGAGAGCCCCAGCAGGAGAGGCTGCAGAAGCAAGCACCCTTCTGTTTCCACCCACACTCTTCATCCTCCAAGTGTTCTCACAAACACTTTCTTTTCGCTCAGGCTCTCGATTGCTCAAGCTCGCTTCATGCTTCTACTCACTATGGAGAGGAGGGCACCAAGAGAGTGAACGCGGACAGACAGAACCAGCAGCAGAGGCTGCATCAGCTAGCACCTTGATTCCGGTCAATGGAGAATCCTCTCACACCCTTCATCCTCCACTTAATCTCACAAGCTTTATTGATGCTCAAACTCTCGCCATGCTCCTCCTCAAGTTGATGCTCAGCCGCTCTTCTCACTCAACCTTTCTCCATGCTCCTGCTCTGCTCACCTATGGAGAGTGCCAGGAGAGTGAATGCGGACAAACCCAGCAGCAGAGGCTGCAGCAGCTCCAGCAGCAAGTATCGGTCCAGCACCTTTAAGCCCTCCCACCACCGCTGCACCCATTCAGTCACTCTCCTTACAGGCACACTCGCCATAATCTCCCCTTGCAGAACCACTGCCTCGTCCTGTAACAACCGCCCTTTTCGCACAAGGTTCCGCACAGCAGGCTTCCTGAGAAGCTCCCTTCGCAGTTGCCTCTTTTTCCTGGCAAGATTCGCTAAGTTCTGTTGCTGCCGATCAACGGCCAGGATTTGAAGCCTCGCAGTGGCGTCCATTAGGGTTTGCATCCTGGGTCCGACGGCCATCCGACTTCTAATCCTCCAAGGAACTTTCTCAGGTACTAGGAAGCTTGGACGGTCTAGATTCGTCGATTCATGGTGACCAGACGCACTCAATTGCATTCTGGCCATTGGATTAGTATTCGTCATTTCCGACGGCACAGCATCTGAGTCTGAACGATACTCGTCGCCGTCTGTGTTTTCTGTATCATGTGTCCTACTAGCTCTCTCGCCTTCTTTCGCCCATTGCTCTCTTCCCGCCATCGCTCGGCAATACCAATGCTGCTGTGCGCGCGAGATGCGCTCACAGACGTCGTCGCAGTCGAAACAGCCGCGGCCTTTCGGTGATAATCGCCATGATGATTGACGATGGGAGGATTTTATGAACCTGAGAGCTGAATGCCGCTTTTCAAGAAGAGATATACGTGGCGCAGGCCGGCGGTCCGGATCGTAACAGAGCGAGAAGGAGACGGGCCTGCGGAGGGAAAGCGACGATCGGGAAGGTGAAATCACTGGCGAGATTGTTGTGGACAAAGCTGAAAATGTCATGCTGTCAGGTGAGTGAGCGGTGACGACGCCGCCGCTTACGGCGCGTTGATCGGTGTTTATTACACAAGCCGTGGATCATGCTCATGAGTGACCAGGGCCGTGGATCATTTTCATGACCAGGCGTTTGGCCGTTTTGTCGGCCAAAATATGCTATCGACGTACCGATATCACAGGGTAACTGTTGCGGGGTTTGTTACTAGTCTGTCGAGAATTTGGCATAGAGAGTTGTTCCACGTCTAAAAGAACGCAAAATCCCGCCAACCGGATTCGAACCAGTGACCTAAGGATTGCTCCACTACAGTCCTCCGCTCTACCAACTGAGCTATAGCAGGATGCTATCCAGTTTTGTATAATTATATATTAAATGAACATTTAGCAAATTGGAGGTTTCAGTCAAGCACATTTCAACCTTCTCGCTTTTTTCCACCCACTATGGATATGGTGCAGTGCATATTACCTTCACTTTCCCAATAGGCAATACCCCCTACGAAAGAGGGTATTGTAGATTCGCGTATGGCAAGTCCTTTATCACGGCGTCGTAATGCCTGCAAGGTGAATATGATGTTGTCTGAATAGGAATGCTTGCATCACTTTAGATTAATAGACAACATAGTGATTAACACCCGAACAAGAGATTAACAGCGCAGCATAGTGGCACGCCTTATAATGAAGAGAGAGAAGGTTTGGACAAACAACTACGAAGCATGATGAAGAAGCAGAAGCAGAAAAAGGTATCACCCGAGAAACACACGCTCCTTCCTATGGCCATTGTGTTGTGCATCGTCACTGCTGGAGAGAGAGGCATCGTTTTAAGCCGGCAGCCCAAATTGCACAACTTTTAAAAGCTTGACGGGAGGGGGTTTTTCTGGTCTCGGGTTTGGCGAAATTTTTCGATTTCGGTTCTTTCGTTTTTTTCGCCGAGCCCAGCCCGCCCTCGTATTTCGCCCTTGGGGTTGGTACAGTCCCCGAAAGTCCCGAATTGCAGGCACGTTATTTTCAAACCTTGCAAACACTAGTTCGTCAAGTTTTAAAAGCTTGACCCGCGCGGCCCGCAATTTGGGCCGCATGTCAAACTCTTATGCTATAGTCTGTGTAGGCTGTAGAGGGTAGACAATATGGGGTACAACACTTCTAGGTTTTCCTACTTGTACCCACTTGCTTGCTAGTTCATCCATTCCTCATTCTTCACATGGTATCTGAGCAGGTTCCCTCGTGGGAACGCTTCTCAGGGCCCACCACTGAACTCGATCTTTTCTTCCTGCCCGAGGCGCGCCCCGTAGGCCGCCCTCACGTCGCGCCCTCCTAGAGGCCCCTCGCGCCACCCTTAGCGACCCCAGCGCTGTTGGGCTGAACGCCGTAGGATCTTTTAGTAAAGTTAAAGTCTGAGTAAATGATGTAGTAGCGGAAGCGATTGAATAAAGTCCTTGAACCACCTTGCGCTAGTATGTGAGGGCAAAGTAAGTTGATTAAAGCAAAGAGGTACAGGAATTTATATACGAGTACAGAGAATATGAAGAGACATAATGAGGGGGAAGGGGGTCTATCGGGAGGGGACCTGGTACAAGGAAGTGCGGTGGCGGCAATACCTATGCTGCTGTGCGCGCGAGATGCGCTCACAGACGTCGTCGCAGTCGAAACAGCCGCGGCCTTTTGGTGATAATCGCCATGATGATTGACGATGGGAGGATTTTATGAACCTGAGAGCTGAATGCCGCTTTTCAAGAAGAGATATACGTGGCGCAGGCCGGCGGTCCGGAGAGCCGCTCCGCTGCGAGGCAGCAACCGACCGCCCTCCCCCAGAGGGGTCCGACAGGGAGACAGCAACCGGCCGACCAAGCGGCGTGAGTGTGGTGCGGTCTCGAAAGAAGGAGCGAGAAGCCCCTAAGTCAAGTGTGAAGGTGAGGGAGGCCGAAGTCGACGCGGTACCTGAGAGCGCAGCCTCACCAGTACCTAAGGGCGCATACACGCTGGCACGTAGAGTAGCAGGCTCACTAGCACCTAGCACAGCAGTACCAATGCCCGGGTCGGGCGGGAAACACCGGTAACAATCACCCTCATCACTAATAGTCACAGCATACATGGCAGCAAGGATAGCATCAAAGTGAAGATCATAGATAGCTACACCTGCCCTAGACAGCTCTCCCCAGCGGGGGATCTCACTAGCCTCGAGGAACTGCTGACGCCAGGCGTCCGTCAGGCGGCCAAAGAAGCGTTGGGTGGGGTGGGCACCCCCACACTGCTCACCCGCGCGGTCGCCGGAGCGAAGGACGTAGGTGCACGGACCAAAACTCCCACCACGCTAACGCTGCGTGTACAACTCACGGAGCTGCTGAGGAGGGGGGATATCCCGAGAACGCTGCTGCTGCTGCTCTTGCTGGTGCTAACCACCACCAGAGCCGCTCCGCTGCGAGGCACCACCCCGACCAGCTCCACCACCTCCGCCACCGCTGCCTCCACCTCCGCCACCACCGCCACCCCCGCTCCCACCGCTACCGCCGCCGCCGCCGCCTCCGCCTCCGCTGCTACCACCACCACCACCACCCCCGCCACCACTCCCACCGCCACCCCCACTCCCTCCGCCGCCACCACCGCCACCTCCACCACCCCCGCTAGCTCCACCCGCGCCCTTGCCCCCCTTGCCCTTGCCGGAGCGGCGTCTCCCGCTAGGGGCAGACGCCGCACCGACCGACTCAAGACCAAGTAGGTTGGCCGCTGTAGCAGAGGCGATAGAGGGCAACAGGGGGGAAGGGGAACACCCCTCAAAGATGGGGGTGCGAGGGTCACCACGAGAGGCTCCTACAGTGACTATGCTCTTCTCCGCTGCTAGGAGGGCCTTTTCTAGGAGGTCAACAGTGAGAGTGGTGGGACAGACTGAGAGGAAGTGGTCCCTGACTACGCGAAGGGAGTCAGGGAGGCGGGTGACTATGTAATAGAGAGTGATGTACATGGGGGGGGGGGTTCTTGGCGCAGAACTCAGCAGGAAGCGTGGCGCGGTAGCGAGTGTCACTAGTGCGGAGGTGTGTAATGAGGTCAGCGACTGTGGGAAAGGCAGCAAGGTCAGGGAAGAGGTACGGTAGCATGAGGCGGCTCAGTGAAGCAGTGGCAGGGGAAGAGTAGCGCGCAACTACAGCGTCGCACAAGGTCTGAGCACTCTTGTACTGACTAAAGTGCGCGCGCTCAGTGGTAGGTAGGTGGGGACGCACAGCAAGACGTGCAGCAGCATCGCGCGTGGCCCACTGGGAGCAAACAGTGGGGTCAGCATCAGCAGCTGGGGCAGGAGAGGCGCCAGAGGTGAGGTCAAAGAGAGAGAGACCGTCTGCCGTATCGCACTGTAAGAACAGCTGCAGGTCGTCGACCCAGACCTCAAAGTCAATGGCTCGACCCTCAGCGTCAAAAGCAAGGACACTAGGGGTAGCCATGACAACAGTAGACCAGCAGTGCAAGCAATAGGGAAGGGCACGCAGTGACAGAGGGGCTGTGCTCACCGAACAGGGCTGCTCGGGCGGCTCGGCGGTAGGGCGGCTCGGCGGCTTGGCTGCTGGGCGGCTCGGCTGCACTGCGGCTCGTCTTGTGGGCGGCCGGGCGGCTCGGCTGCAGTGCGGTCCGGCGGCAGGGCGGCCCGGCGGCGGGGCGGCTCGGCTGCTCTGCTGCTGGGCGGCTCAGCTGTGCTGCTGCAGGGCGGCGCAGCGGTCTTCGTGGCGGCACGGGCGGCTCGGGCGGCGCTGCAGGAGTTGAGAGCGGCGGGGCCGCTGAGAAGGGCGGCGGGGCCGCAGCAAATGGGCGACGGGGCCGCTGGGTAGAGCGGCGGGGCCGCAGAAGAAGGGCGGCAGGGCCGCCGATGAGGGCGGCGGGGCCACTTAGTAGGGCGACTGGGCCGCATGAGTAGGGCGGCGGGGCCGCAGAGTAAGGCGGCGGGGCCGCAGGAGCAGGGTGGCGGGGCCACGGAGTAGGGCGGCGGGGCCGCTGAAGCAGGGCGGCGGGGCCGCAGAGTAGGGCGGCGGGGCCGCAGGAGAAGGGCGGCAGGGCCGCTGTAGAAGGGCGGCGGGGCCGCAGAGTAGGGCGGCGAGGCCGCGAATGCGGGCGGCGGGGCCGCGCTAACGGGCGGCGGGGCCGCGTGAACGGGCGGCGAGCCGCGAATGCGGGCGGCGGGGCCGCGCTAACGGGCGACGGGGCCGCGCGAACGGGCGGCGGGGCCGGGAATGCGGGCGGCGGGGCCGCGAATGCGGGCGGCGGGGCCGCTCTAACGGGCGGCGGGGCCGCGCTGGCGGGTGGCGTGGCCGCTAGGGGACGGTGGGGCCGCTAGGGCAGTTCGACGATGTGAGAGCCCGTAGCGCGACTCGGGCGGAGCACGCTTCGGGCAGGAAAAAAAATTCTCGATGTGGTGGGCCCTAGGCACAGTTCCCACGGGGGAACCTGCTCGATGCCATGAGGAAAGTAGAACGAGGATGGATGAACTATGAATGGAAGTGATACAAATATGCAACCCTAGCAATGTGTACCCCATATGGGCTACCCCACTATAGCCTACACAATATTGTAATTTGACAGATTCCTCTTTCCGCCAGGTACTGCTTGAATCGCTGAGAGGTGTATTCTCCTCCTCCGTCTGACTGGAAGCTTTTCAGCTGTGCTCCTGACTCTCTCTCTGCTACTGGTAGCCAGGCGGCGAACGCTGCGAGTGCCATGTCGCGGCTGGGTAGGTTTAGATGCCAGACGTATCGAGTGGCGGCGTCGATGAAGGTGATCGTGTAGTTGTAAGTAACTTGTTCTGGTTCTCGATTGAAGAGAATATCGCTGTACACCTTCTCGAGTGGTGCGTACGCGTGTGTGCTCGGGTTGTGGTGAGGAGTGAACGGTCGATGTGGTAAGTCGGCTTCGGGGCAGGTAAGGCAAGTTCCTTGTGCTCGTTGGAGTTCTCTGCCATCGGGTAGTAGTAATGAGTCCTTGTCTAGGACTCCTGCTCTTATTGTATTATTTAACACGGTGTTGCTTGGATGTCCCATGCGTGCGTGCCAGATGTCTTCGGAGGCGCGGTGTCCGGGTGAGCGTCGATACGCGTCGGAGTTGGAGTAGAAGCTGGCGACGAAGTTTGCGCTTCTATGGACTTCTCGTTGAGTTGGGTTCAGCTGCTGTGCGGGTGTTGGTGGTGCTTCGTCAACGAGAACTGGTGTCGCTGCTGCTAACGATGTTTTTGCTGCTGCCGATGTTGTCTCTGCTGCTGCCGATGTTGTCTCTGCTGCTGCCGATGTTGTCTTTGCTGCTGCCGATGATGTTTTTGCTGCTGCCGATGATGTTTCTGCTGCTGCCGAATGTTGAATTGTTGCTAATGCGCGTGTTCGTTTTGCTTCAGGGATGGTGTGCGAGTACCAGAAGCCTTCCGCGCTGAAGTCTGGATCAAGATCTGGAGGGTGCGTCCAGTCGGCGAAGTTCACGATGGCGTCGCTGTCTGCGGTGCCCAGGTCTGGGACGAAGTCAAGGACGAAGACGTTGTTCTTCATGACTGCCTTTCCGATGTAGAGGCCGCCCTTCCCGTGGTATAGTTTAAACTCCTGGGTGGTGCTGTCGGCTTCCAGGTGAATACCTTTCGCCATCAACTGACTGACGCTCAGTAAGTTGTAGCCAAGTCCCTCCGCGACTAGTACTTTTGACATTTGTAGAACGACGTTTGTCTCCCGTGACTGAAGTTGTACTATGCCTTGTCGTCTTGTGCGCAGGTTTTGATTATTGGCGACGGTGATGACGACTTTGCGTTGGAGTTGGTGCTCGCGTTGGACGAAACGTCCTGAGGAGCACATGTGTTGTCCGCAGCAACTGTCCAAGAACCAAGTATCTCTTCCGGATGGCTCGCTTTGAGCGATGGCGGCGTATGTCGGGTTCGGCTGAAGTGACTCGCGGCGAAGTGTGGTTTCGTCGAGTCGTTCTTCTGGTGAGTAGTGCGGTGGTGGCTGAGTGATGCAGGAATATGTTATCTTTGCCATGCAATTGACGATGTTTCTTGCTCCTTGTGCAGGTTGTCGTGTTGGAGTCGTCGAGGCTTGAATCTTTGTCGTGGGATTTGCTTGCGTTGAAGTGACTTGGGAGCTTGAAGGCCGAAGTTGTCGCTGTGGTGTTGTCGATTGCTGACGATACGGACAGTGCGTACGAGGATGTCCTGAGGTCTTGCAGATGTGGCAAAACGGAGGTACTGGCTTCAATTGTTGTTGTTGCCGATTGTTGTTGTTGTAACGTCGCTGGGTGTGAAACGCGAACTCTGGTACTGACGTTTTCTTCTTATGTCGTTCTTCTTGCAGGTCCATGTCCTGCTGCTCAGCATGGATTTCGGTGCAGAGTGCTGCTTCAAAGATTCTCCCGTGTGCTCGTAGTATGGCGCGAGTGGAGCGCCAGTGAGGGCCAAGACTGCCGATGACGACGGTGACCAAGGCGTCTTCTGAAATCGATCCTCCACATCGAAGAAGCTTGTCGCGCAGCTCGCGGCAGCGACTGATATACGCCATGCCCTTCTTGCTTGGTTTCATTTCGATTGTTGTCAGCTGTGCCATTAACCGACTTTGGTTTACGCTGTTTGTTGCTTGATACAGGTTCTTCAAGTGGTTGTACGCGAGCTCCGCGGAGTTACCGTAACCTCGGTAAGTCCTTATATTCTGCTACTGATGTTCCTCAGTAGTATTGTGTATGCCATCATCGATTGATAGGTGTACTGTTGCTTCTTGTACTGTGTGCCGTTTGTTGGATATGGCAGGGACCCGTCGAAGAAGCCAAGGATCTGCGCTCCTTCCATCATCAGCTCGAATTCGAACGACCAGGTAAAGAAGTCCTTCCCGTCGAAGGGTTTTGTCGTTTGTAGTTTTGGAACATGCGCGAACTGTGACTGAACTTGTAGTGCGTCCAGTGCTCTTTCTTGTCCCGGTGCAGGTTGTTGTTGTGGCATGAAGCTGACGGAGCCGCGTTGGGGCTCGTACAGAGCAAAGGTAGGTTGTTGATGTTGATTCCCGCGTGCGTAGGATGAGCCATCGAGACTCATGGGCGTCACGTTGTTGTTGTTGTTGCTGTTGTTTGATTGCGCAAGTACTCCTTGCTGATGCTGCTCGTAGAAGGACATGAAGGAGAGGAATTTCTCCATCATGCTTGGATCGAAGCCCGCGCCTTGGTTTGCGGGTGTTTCAGTAGACCCACCTGCTGGTCTGCCTTCCTCTGTCTGTAGGCCAGAGGCAAGAGGTGGAGTAGGGGTAGTACCAGGAGAGCCGTTGGAGGAGCTCCTCTCCTTTCTAGCAGACATGTCTTCTTGATGTATTAAGTGTTGAAGAAAAAGTAACTTTTTAACTCTAACCAGCTCTCATACCATGTTGGGCTGAACGCCGTAGGATCTTTTAGTAGAGTTAAAGTGTGAATAAATGATGTAGTGGTGGAAGCGTTTGAATAAAGTCCTTGAACCACCTTGCGCTAGTATGTGAGGGCAAAGTAAGTTGATTAAAACAAAGAGGTACAGGAATATATATATGAGTACAAAGAATATGAAGAGACATAATTGTAACTACTTAACTGTTGCGGTTCGATACAGTGCGACTCGGGCAACTGCTCAATGTCGAGTCAGTTGTGTGTCCTTGCTGTCGCGCTGCATTTGTCAGGTCAAAGGTCGCTGACCTTTGACTTTCTAGTAACCTCCAGCAGTTACATCAACCTCCGAGGGTTGACTCGCTGGTGCTTCGATTTGCGCTGCTTCGCTTGTGTCTTGAGGTTTTGACACGACATAGGCGCTTAAGGCTATTTGTTCCCAACAAGTGCCACCCCTTACAGCCCCGTCACCGTCCTTTGCGGCCCCGTCGCCGCCCCTCTAGGCCCCTCACGGCCCCTTCGTGGTCTCGTCGCCGCCCCTCTAGGCCCCGTCGCCGCCCCTCTAGGCCCCTCGCGGCCCCTTTGCGGCCCCGTCGCCGCCCCTCTAGGTCTCGTCGCCGCCCTTCTAGGCCCCTCGCAGCCCCTTCGCGGCCCCGTCGCCGCCCCTATCGGTCCCGTCGCCGCCTCTTTGGGCCCGTCGCGGCCCCTTCACGGCCCCGTCGCCGCTCCTAGCGGCCCCATTGCCGCCCCTATCGGCCCCGTCGCCGCCCCTCGCGGCCACGTCGCCGCCCTTCACGACCCCGTCCCCGCCCCTAGCGGCCCCGTCGCCGCTCTTCGCGGCCCCGTCGCCGCCTCTAGCGGCCCCGTCGCCGCCCCTCGCGGCCCCGTCGCTGCCTCTACCGGCCCCGTCGCCGCCCTTCGCGGCCCCATCGCCACCTCTACCGGCCCCGTCGCCGCCTCTACCGGCCCCGTCGCCGCCTCTACCGGCCCCTTCACCGCTGAGTCGCCCAGCAGCCGAGCCGCCCAACAGCCGAGCCGCCGAGCCGCCCAGCAGCCGAGCCGCCGAGCCGCCCAATAGCCGAGCCGCCGAGCCGCCTAGCAGCCGAGCCGCCGAGCCGCCCAGCACCCGAGCCGCCGAACTACCCAGCAGCCGAGCCGCCCTGCCGTCGAGCCGCTACTGTTCCTACCAGCCCGCCCCGGCCCTACTTACTCGGACTGGTGAGATCACTCCCTGCTAGACCACTGTTGTCATGGCTACCCCCTGTGTCCTTACCTTTGATGCAAAGGGTCGTGCTGTTGACTTTGAGGTCTGGGTCGATGACCTCCAGCTGTTCCTACACTCCGATAGGGCAGACGGACTCTCTCTGTTCGATCTCACCTCTGGTGCCTCTCCTGCCCCGCCGACTACTGCTGACAGCACTGTTCGCTCACAGTAGGCCATACGCAAAGCTACTACCCGTCTTGCTGTGCGTCGCCATTTACCGACCACTGAGCGTGCGCACTTTAGTCAGTAAAATAGTGCTAAGACCTTGTACGACGCTGTGGTTGCACGCTACTCTTCCCCTGCCACTGCTGCTCATAGCCGCCTCATGCTGCCGTACCTGTTCCCTGACCTTGCTGCCTTTCCCACAGTCACTGACCTCATTACGCACCTTCGCACTAGGGACACTCGCTACCCCGCTGCGATTCCTGCTGAATTCTGTGCCAAGAATCCCCCCCCCCCCCCCCCATGTACACCTCTGGTGCCTCTCCTGCCCCGCCGACTACTGCTGACACCATTGTTCGCTCACAGTGGGCCATACGCGATGCTGCTGCCCGTCTTGCTATGCGTCGCCATTTACCGACCACTGAGCGTGCGCACTTTAGTCAGTAAAATAGTGCTAAGACCTTGTACGACGCTGTGGTCGCACGCTACTCTTCCCCTGCCACTGCTGCTCATAGCCGCCTCATGCTACCGTACCTGTTCCCTTACCTTGCTGCCTTTCCCACAGTCGTTGACCTCATTACGCACCTTTGCACTAGGGACACTCGCTACCCCGCTGCGCTTCCTGCTGAGTTCTGTGCCAAGAAACCCCCCCCCCATGTACATCACCCTCTACTACATAGTCACCCAGCTCCCTAACTCCCTTTGCTTAGTTAGGGACCACTTCCTCTCAGTTTGCCCCACCACACTCAACGTTGACCTCCTCGAGGAGCGCCTCCTAGCAGCAGAGAAGAGCATAGTCGCTGTAGGAGCCTCTCTTGGTGACCCCCGCACCCCCTTCTTTGAGGGGTGTTCCCTCTCCCCCCTCTTGCCCTCTGTTGCTTCTGCTGCTGCGGCCGACCTCGTTGGCTTCGAGTCGATCGGCGCTGCGTCTGCCCCTAGCGGGAGACGCCGCACCGGCAAGGGCAAGGAGGGCAAGGGCACTGGAGGGGCTGGCGGGGGCCGTAGAGGTGGTGGTGGAGGTAGTGGAGGGGGTGGGGGTGGTGGTGGGAGTGCTGGCGGGGGTGGAGGTGTCAGTGGGAGCAGTGGACGCGAAGGAGGCGGCGGCGGTGGCGGAGGGAGCGGAGGCGGGGGAGGTGGCGGAGGCGGCGGTGGCGGCAGCGGTGGAGCTGGTCGCGGCTCTGCGCACAGGAGTGGTTCCGGTGGTGGTCCGCGCCAGCAGCAGCAGGGTGCTCGTGAGACCCCGTCCCCTCAGCAGCTTCGTGAGTGGTACGCTGGGCGTCAGCGAGGTGGGGGTACTGGTCCCTGCACCTACGTCTTCCGTAGCGACGACCACGCTGGTGAGCAGTGCGGGGGCCCGCACTCCACCCAGCGCTGCTTCGACCGCCTGACGGACGCGTGGCGTCGCCAGTTCCCTGACGCCACTGAGATCCCTCGATGGGGAGAGCTGTCTAGGGCGGGGGTTGCTATCTTTGATCTTGATAATGATGCTATTCTTGCTGCCACGTATGCCGTGTCTACTAGTGATGAGGGTGACCAACACCTCTGTGTTCCGCCTGACCTAGTCATTGAGGCTGCTGCTCTAGGTGTTGGTGAGGCTGCTGCTCTAGGTGTTGGTGAGGCTGCTGCTCTAGGTGCTACTGCGTCTGCTGCCCCAGGTGCTGGTGAGTCTGCTCTCTCAGGTACCACGTCGGCTCAGGCCTTACACACCTTCACCCTTGACTCGGGTGCTTCCCGCTCCTTCTTTCGAGACCGCACCACGCTTACGCCGCTTAGTCGGCCGGTTGCGGTCTCCCTCGCGGACCCCACTGGGGGTCTTGTCCTTGCTAGCTTCTCTACTGTCTTACCGTGTCCGGCAGCCCCTTTTGGCACCCTGTCAGGTCTCTACCTCCCCTTGTTCTCTACGAACTTGGTGAGTGGAGCTAATCTACAGGATAGGGGGGTTGACCAGTTCACTCCCACGAGTCAGCGGGTGACCCACTGTACGTGTGCTCGGACGGGCCGAGACTTGGCCACGTTTACCCGTCGGCTGGGGTCGAGCCTGTACACAGTGACTATTGAGTCTCCTCCGGTTGCTGAGTCTGGTCAGGTAGCTGCGTCAAGTCAGGTGTTTGCTGCAGCGTCCAGGTCTGGTCTTGAGTCTGCTCCCTGCTCGTGTTGTCTCCTGTCCCACCAGACTCTCCTTTGGCACCACCGCCTTGGTCACCCCTCCCTGCCTCGTCTCCGAGGCATGGCCTCCCGTGTCCTTGTCTCTGGTCTCCCCTGGTCCCTCCCTCCCCTACCTCCGGGGCCTGCCCCTACATAGTTCCTTGCGTCGAGGGGCGGTAGCGCGCCGCCCCTCACTCCTCTGAGTTTCCTCCGACAGAGGCTCCGCTGCAGACTCTTCACGTGGACGTGTGGGGCCCCGCACGCGTCCGTGGCCAGGGTCACAAGCGTTACTTCCTGTTGGTGGGTGACGTCACTGAGGTGTTGATCGACTGGATCCGCGCGGCTCATCTCCAGCTCCGAGAGAGTTTTGGCTCGGACTTTCCTGTTCTGCGTCTGCACTCTGACAGAGGCAGGGAGTTTTCCTCTGCCGGTCTGGGAGCCTTCTGTCGTACACAGATCATCCACTAGACCTTCACGCTTCCGGCCTCTCCACAGCAAAATGGGATTGCTGAGCGCCGCATTGGCATGGTCATGGACGTCGCTCGTACGTCCATGATCCATGCGGCTGCCCCCCATTTTCTGTGGCTGTTTGCGGTTCAGTACGCAGCGCATCAGCTCAACCTTCAGCCCCGGGTCTCGTTGCAAGAGACCTCCCCCACCTTGCGGTGGACGGGGAAGGTTGGCGATGCGTCTGCGTTTCGGGTCTAAGGATCTCGGGCGTTTGTCCGTGACTTGTCTGTGGACAAGCTGTCCCCCCGTGCTGTTCCTTGCGTCTTCCTTGGCTTCCCCCTGACGCGCCTGGGTGGCAGTTTTACCACCCCACCTCGCGCCGTGTTCTGTCCTCCCAAGACGTCACCTTTGACGAGTCGGTGCTTTACTACCGTCTCTTCCCCTACCGCACTGCGCCCCTCCCCCCGCCGCCGCTCTTCCTTGCCCCAGGTCCTCCCCCGATAGACCCCCTCCCCCCACAGGATCCTGCCCCGTCAGGTGTGTCCTAGGTAGACGCAATCGAGCTTGTCAAGGTAGCTGTTGACTCTGGTGCTGCTAGAGGTGCTAAGCCTTCGGGTGCCAGATTTGGAGGTGCTGAGCCTGGGGGTGCGGAGCCTGGGGGTGCTGAGTCCAGGGGTGCGGAGCCTGGGGGTGCTGATCATGGGGGTGCTGAGTCTGGGGGTACTGAGCGTGGGGGTGCTGAGTTTGGGGGTGCTGAGCTTCGGGGTGCTAAGCCTGGGGGTGCGGAGCCTGGGGGTGCTGGGTCTGCTCGTGTGGCCTCTCGCGGTGCTTTGTCGAGGTGGGAGCTACTCTCTTTGTAGGAGCTGCGCGAGTGGTTTGCCCGGCGCTGGAGCCGTGCCGCTGGAGCTGGAGGTGCTACTGATGCTGCTGGTCTTGGAGGTGCTCGTACTAACGGAACTGGAGCTGCTGGGACTGGGGGTGCTGCTGGGGCTGCTGGAGCAGCTGGAGCTGGAGCTGCTGGGGGTGTTGGCGCTGGTGGTGCTGCTAGCGCTGGTCCTTATGAGGGTGCTGGGGTTGGCGCTATTGGAGCTGGAGGTTCTGCTGGCGCTGGTGTTGCCGCTGGCGGTACTAGTGCTGTCTGTGCTGGTTCTGGAGGCGCTGCGCGGCCGCGGCCGTACTTCATTCCACCCCTTGAGTTCGTTCTTGGTCTTCCGCATTCTATTGGTCCTGCTCCTCCCTTAGAGTGTCCACCGCCTGTCCAGTCGCAGTCAAAGTTACAGCTTGCCTCCCCCCTGCCTGCTCCTTCTCCCTACACTGGTCCTACTGGAGGTCTTGCTGAGCGTCGTGAGCTTGCGTCTCGTCCTTCCTTGCCTGTTCATGCTGCTCGCACTAGTGGTCGTGCTGCGCGTCCGCGTCCTCCTGCGGTCCCAGGCACACACCAGATGGCACTGCGTCCTTCCACTGCTCCTCTCAGTGTCCCATTGCCATCTCCTCTAGAGTCCTCTCTTCCTGTTCTTGCTTGCCCGGAGTCTGACTCTCTTCGTGCTGCTAGTCCTACTGTCACGCGTCTCCTGGCTACTGCTATCACTGACCCTTCCTTTGAGTCCACTGCTGCGTCTGCCTTAGTTGCTGAGCTTGTCGACTTTGCTGCGCGTTGTCGTCTAGACTACGCCACTAGTCTTGTTGCTGAGTCTGAGTCTGTCTGTCCTCCGTCCGTCGAGGATGAGTGTGCTCTTAGCACAGATGACCTTGAGGACAGGCAGGAAGAGTTCCAGTGTTTTACTGCTGCTTTGCCTCATCTCGTGTCCATGCTGATTGCCCCTAAGGGAGACTCGGATGCACCAGACATCCCGACTCCTCGATCGTACGCTGAGGCGATCGAGGGTCCCTACTCCTCTCAGTGGCAGTCAGCCATGGACGCGGAGATGGCTTCCTAGAAGTTTACAGGCACCTACGTCGACAAGGTTCGTCCACCTTGGGCGAACATCGTCAGTGGCATGTGGATCTTCAGGGTGAAGCGGCCGCCGGGTTCTCCGCCTATCTTCAAGGCGCGTTACGTCGCTAGAGGCTTCAGACAGCGGCAGGGAGTTGACTACTTTCAGACCTTCTCTCCCACCCCGAAGATGACCACTCTTCGGATGCTGCTGCACATAGCCGCTTAGCGCGACTACGAGCTTCACTCTCTTGACTCCAGCACAACTTTCTTGCAGGGCAGCCTGCACGAGGAGATCTGGCTGCGCCGCCCACCTCGCTTCACTGGGTGGTTTCCCCCTGGTACCCAGTGGAGCCTCTGGCGGCCAGTCTACGGTCTCTACCAGGCGACCCGTGAGTGGCACGACACATTGAGGACTACACTTGCGGCTCTTGGGTTTGCTCCTTCTACAGCCGACCCGTCGTTGTTTGTGCGCACCGACACCTCTTTGCTGCCGTTCTACATCCTCGTGTACGTCGATGGCTTGGTCTTTGCCACTGTTGACACTGCTGGACTCGCCCACGTGAAGTCTGAGCTACAGAAGAGACACACGTGCAAAAACCTGGGTAAACTGCGCAGCTACCTTGGCTTGCAGATCACCCGGGACAGAGAACACCGCACCATTACCTTGACTCAGTCAGACATGGTGCAGCAGGTCCTTCTGTGCTTCGACTCCTCTGTCTACTCGCCACTCGCTCTCAGCTCTGCCTTCGGATGAGTCCGTCGAGCCGAGTGGCCCATACCCAGAGCTTGTTGGCTGCCTCATGTGTCTAATGACCTGCACACGACCTGACCTTGCATACCCTCTTAGCATCTTGGCACGCTATGTTGCTCCTGGGAGACACCGACCAGAGTACATGGCTGCAGCAAAGAGGGTGTTGTGCTATGTGTGTAGTACGTCGGGCATGGGGCTAGTGCTTGGAGGGTGACATCGAGTGGTCCTCAGAAGGCCACGTAGACGCTTCTTGGGCTGACGACCAGGCTACGCAGTGGTCGTCACAGGGTTACACCTTCAGCCTTGGTTTCGGCTCTGTTTCGTGGCGGTCTACCTGCTCGTCTTCTGATCTCGTCTCCAGCTGTGAGGTTGAGATCTACGCGGGGGCCATGGCTGCACAGGAGCTACATTGGCTCACCTACCTGCAGACTGACCTAGGAGAGCCGCCTCGTTCTCCTCTAGTTCTGTACGTAGAAAATAAGGCCATGCTGGCCTTGTGTCGGGAGCATAGACTGGAGCATTGAACGAAGCACATTGCTCTTCGCTACTTCCTTGCTCGTGAGCTGCACCAGTGTGGTAAGCTGCGCCTTGCTTACGTGGCCTCTGAGGCCAACACTGCTGATATCTTTACCAAGGCACTTCCGCCTGGTGATCATCAGCGCTTCTGTAGGATGCTAGGTCTTGTGCCTACTTGGCCACACTTGCTCACTTCTTGACATTGCTTGTACTGTGATCTTTCTATACCTGCACTTGCTTGTTTAGCTATATATATGATCTTGCATGTGAACTGGCCTTGTGGCCTTGCTCTTGTGCTCGGACTGTGTGGTGACTTTGTGATCCACCCTGAGCTTGCTTTGATTTGCTTGACTGGTCTTGTGACCTTTTGTTCCCCCCCACTTTGCCTATGGGGTTGTGTCAAACTCTTGTGCTATAGTCTGTGTAGGCTGTAGTGGGGTAGACAATATGGGGTACAACACTTCTAGGTTTTCCTACTTGTACCCACCTGCCTGCTAGTTCATCCATTCCTCATTCTTCACACCGCGGGCTTTAACAACATGCTAAATGTTTTCATTACTGACTCATCCTATATCTTCCACAAGCTTATAAGATATATGGAAGTATATTTGCTTTTTTGTAGTTTACAAGTATGTTGGGCGATCACACGAGCAACAACTATACTAACATGCCCAATCCACGTTGTGAATAGAATGTGGGGATGAATTAACAATGAATGCCAATGCAAAACTACATTTACGGTATTAGATACACAATGTCATTTCTCCTTGTTAGCCAAGCCAGGGAGAAGGTTGATGTGGCGTAACTACTTGAGAGAAAGCCATAGTTATCAAATGATCAGCTGTACCGATTCAAGATATATCATCTCAACGACGAGGGTGCAATTGTGTCGGGTGAAGGTTATGGCAGTGGAGGGCCAAGCCACAGGCTGGCATATCAACCACTATACGAGGCTTGTATGAATCATGCATAAAGGTATTCTGACATGACTTCCAGATGAGTGTGCACTGCAATCGTCAAAGGTGCAGTGCAATCGTGATAGTATTTCAAATCTCATACGTACAGCACACTCAATATAGATTTTTACAAATGGCATGTTAAGCGCAACGGTTCTACGCTTATGGACAAAGAAAAAATGGGAGTGGAGGGTGAGAAAAAGAGAGTTTGGAAATTGCAAATAAGAATAGGTGGCAAGTCCCCAAGACAATGCCGGAAGGTGAAGTAGCTTGTCTCATATACAGCACGCCCCTCTTCAGGTCGAATCACAATCTGTAAGACTTTTATTACAAATAAATGATCTCATGTTTCACGCACCACCCAAGGCGTCAACGATATGCGGTATGGGAGTGTCTCATTCAAATTGTCATCTCACCACATCCAGATATTTGCATTGGTTGTGTGGATTGCAGGTTGACGTAACCATCAGGCGGCTTCTCATCGTTCTTCCATCCCCAATTTGCTAATATGCCATATCTGGATTCAAAACAACAATTGCAAGGGGAGTGTTTGTTCTTCAAGGTGGATGATTGTCCATTATTGCATCATCAGATGTGGGGTGTGAGACTGGAGTAGATGAGTTTCTAAAGATGGGAGGAGATGGGAGGAGCGGAAGCAGGAGGAGTGTGATGGGCAGATTACGGATGGTATAGAAGCGAGAGGTAGGGAAAATGGTGAAATGGGCCAGGTGCCAGTCTTGGTGATGAATATCACAGTAGAGTTGACATGCGGGGAAGCTCGCTCGCACACCAAGGCGTTGGAGGGCAGAGGGAGAGGAACTAGAGAACATATAGGCCAGTAACAACGTTTGAGGGGGAGGCAGGACAAGGAAGAGAGGAGGTGCCAGTGTCAGGAGAACGAATGAGGAATGAGTGAACTAACAACATGCAGGAGTACAAGTACCAAACCCTAATTGGGTTGTACCCCATATAGACTACCCCACTACAGCCTATAGAACATACAGCATATAAGTTTGACACACCCCCATAGGCAAAGTGGGGGAGAATAAGAGCTCACAAGACCAGTCAAGAAAAGCAAAGCAAGCTCAGGGTGGATCACGAAGTCACCACACACTCTGAACACAAGCAAATGGCCACAAGGCCAGTTCACATGCAAAGTTATATAAAGCAGAACAAGAAGTACAGTGATCAAAACCTAGAAAGAGTAAGCATGTAGGCATAAGCATATAGATCACAGTACAAGCAAAGTCAAAAAGTGAGCAAGTGAGGCCAAGTAGGCACAAGACCTAGAACAGTACAGAAACGCTGATTATCACAAGGCTGAAGTGCCTTGGTGAAGATATCAGTAGTCTTGGCCCGAGAGGCCATGTAAGCAAGACGAAGCTGTCCATGCTGCTGCAACTCTCGAGCAAGGAAGTAACATAGAGCGATGTGCTACGTCCTATGCTCTAGTCTATGCTCCTAAACACAAGGCAAACATGGCCTTGTTGTCGACGTACAGAAATGGAGGAGACCGAGGCGGCTCGCCCAAGTCGGTCAACAAGTAGGTGAGCCAGCGTAACTCCTGTGCAACTATGGTCCCTGCGTAGATCTGAGCCTCACAACTGGAACTGAAAATAGAAGACGAGCGGGTAGACCGCCAAGAAACAGAGCCGGAGCCAAGGCTCAAGGTGTAACCCTCTAACGACTGCTGCGTAGCTAAGTCGTAAATCCAAGAAGCGTCTGCGTGACCAATGAGGACAACTCGAGCCCATCCTCAAAGCACGAGCCCCATGCTCGACGTACTGCACAAGTAGCGCAACACCCTCTTAGCGGCCTCCCAGTGCTCTGGTCACTGTCTCCCGGGCGCAATGTAGCGAGCAAGGATGCTAAGAGGGATAAGCAAGGTCAGGTCTAGTGCAGGTTATCAAGCACATGAGGCAGCCCACTCGGCTCTACGGGCTCATCCGAAGGCAGAGCTGAGAGCGAGTGGCCAGTAGGTAGAGGAGTGGACAGTGGCGAGGAGTACATGAAGCGCAAGCTCTAAAGGACCTGCTGCACCATGTGTGACTGAGTCAAGGTAATGGTGCGCCGTGCTGTACCCCGGGTGATCTTCAAGCCAAGATAGCTGTGCAACTCACCCAAATCTGTGCACGTATGTCTCTTCTGTAGCTCCGACTTCACGTGGGCGAGTCCAGCAGTGTCAACAGTAGCAAAGACCAAGTCGTCGACGTACACAAGGATTTAGAATGGCGGCAGTGAAGTGTCGGTCCTCAGAAACAACGGCCGGTCAGCAGTCAAAGGTGTCAGATATATATGACTTAGCCAGTGTAGGCTGTAGTGGGGTAGACTCTAAGGGGTACAAGTTTCTTGGGTTTCACATTTGTATCCAACTGTTTCCTAGTTCATTCATTTTCCTCGTTCTTTCACATGGTATAGAGCAGGTTCCCTAGTGGGAACGTTTCCTAGGGCCCACCACGATCGATTTTTTTTTTCCTGCCCGTAGCGCGCTTCGCTCCTGCCCGAGTCGCGCCCCGTGTGCCTGCCCTCCCGTCGCGTCCCCTGCCCTTAGCGGCCTGTCGCGCTCCCTTACGGCCCCTCTCACAGCCCCTCGCGGCCCCCTCATGCCTCCCTCGCGGCCCCTACGCGGCCCTTCGCGGCCCCGCTCACGGCCCTTCGTGGCCCCTTACGGCCCCTCGCGGCCCCTTCGCGGCCCCTCGCGGCCCCTTCTGGGCCCCTTCGCCGCCCTTCGCGGCCCCGTCGCCGCCCTTCTCGGCCCCGTCGCCGCCCTTCGCGGCCCCTCGCGGCCCTTCTCGGGTCCATAGCCGTCCTTCGCGACCCTTCTCAGCCCCGTCGCCGTCCTTCGCAGCCCCTTCACGACCCTACGTGGCCCCGGCGGCCCCTTCTCGGCTCCCTCACGGACCTGCCGCCCCGCCGTCGCCGTCCATGCAGCAACAGCCGACGCCGCTCCAGCAGCGGTAGCCGCCACCGCCGTTGCCGTCGACAGCAGGCAGCCGCCGCTGCCACAGCCAGGGCCGCATCTGCCGCAGCCGCCGTCAGCGGCAGCCGCCGCCGCCACAGCCGGGGCCGCAGCCGCCGCAGCAGCCTACAGCAGCAGCAGCCGTCGCCACTGCAGGGGCCGCAGCTGCCGCAGCCGCCGACGGCAGCAGCCGCCGCCGCCACAGCTGGGGCCGCAGCCACCGTAGCCACTGACTGCAGCTGCCGCCCCCGTCGACACCAGGGGCCGCCGCCACTGTCTCGGCCCTGCCCTGCAGAGAGGAGCGGCGCTCCTCTACCGCCGTGTAGCGGCCCTGACCCTGCCGACGCGCCTCGGCCCTGCCCCACCACTTGCGGCACTCGTAAGAGCACCACCGAGCCGCGCCCCTACTATTGCTACTGCTGCTGCTGCCCCTAGCCTGCTGCCACTGCTATCATGGCTATCCCTAGCGTTCTCGTCTTTGATGCTGAGGGTCGGGCTGTTGACTATGAGGTCTGGGTCGATGATCTAAAGTTTTTCCTACAGTGCGATAGGAAAGACATTCTCTCACTGTTTGATCTCACGTCTGGCGCCTCTGCTGCCCCTGCTGCCGATGCTAACAGCACTGTTCGCTCACAGTGGGCCACACGCGATGCTCTTGCCCGTCTTGCTGTGCGTAGTAACTTGCCGTCCATTGAGTGCGCGCACTTTAGTCAGTACAAGAGTGCTAAGACCTTGTACGACGCTGTAGTTGCACGCTACTCTTCCCCTGCCACTGCTGCCCTTAGCCGCCTCATGCTCCCGTACCTGTTCCCTGACCTCGCCGCCTTTCCCACGGTCGCTGACCTCATTACGCACGTCCGCACTAGTGACACCCGCTACCGCGCTGCGCTTCCTACTGAGTTTTGCGCCAAGAACCCCCTCCCCATGTACATCACCCTCTACTACCTAGTCACCCGGCTCCCTGACTCCCTTCGCTCCGTCAGGGACCACTTCCTCTCTGTTTGCCCCACCACACTCACCGTTGACCTCCTCGAGGAGCGCCTCCTTGCAGCTGAGAAGAGTATAGTCGCTGTAGGAGCCTCTCGTGGTGACCCTCGTGCCCCCTTTGTTGAGGGGTGCTCCCCCTCCCCCCTTTTGCCCTCTGTTGCCTCTGCTGCTGCCGTCGACTTTGTTGGCACTGAGTCGGTCTGCGCCGCGTCTGCCCCTAGCGGGAGACGTCCCACCGGCAAGGGCAAGGGGGGCAAGGGCGCTGAAGGGGCTGGCGGGGGAGGTGGAGGTGGCGGTGGAGGCGGCGGAGGGAGTGGGGGTGGCGGTAGGAGTGGTGACGGGGGTGGGGGCTTCGGTGGCGGCGGTGGAGGTAGAGGCGGCGGCGGCGAGAGCGGAGGAGGAGGCGGTGGCGGCGGTGGCGGAGGTGGCGGCGGCGGAGGTGGAGCTGGTCGGGGTGGCTCTGCACAGCGGAGCGGCTTCGGTGGTGGTCAGTGCCAGCAGCAGCAGCGCACTCGTGAGACCCAGACCCACCAACAACTTCGTGAGTGGTACGCTGCGAGTCAGCGGGGTGGGGGTGTTGGTCCTTGTGCCTACGTCATGCGTACTGGCGACCGCACTGGTGAGCCGTGCAGTGGCCCACACACCACCCAGCGCTGCTTCGGCCGCCTGATAGAGCCTTGACGTCTCCAGTTCCCTGACGCCACTGAGATCCCCCGCTGGGGCGAGCTGCTTAGGTCGGGGGTTGCTATCTTTGACCAGGATTATAATGCCATTCTTGCTGCCATGTATGCTGTGTCTACTAGTGATGAGGGTGACGGTTACCTGTGTGTTCCGCCTGACCCGGGCATTGAGGCTGCTGCTCTAGGTGCTAGTGCATCTGCTGCCCCAAGTAATGGTGCGTCTGCTCTCTCAGGTACCACGTCGGCTCTCGCCTTCCACACCTTCACCCTTGACTCGGGTGCTTTTCGCTCCTTCTTTCGAGACCGCACCAAGCTTACGCCACTTACTCGGCCAGTTGCGGTCTCCCTAGCAGACCCCTCTGGGGGTCCTATCCTTACCCACTTCTCCTCTGTCTTACCGTGTCCGGCGGCTCCCTCTGGCACCCTGTCAGGTCTCTACCTCCCCTTGTTCTCTACAAACTTGGTGAGTGGTGCTGATCTACAGGATGGGGGGGTTGACCAGTTCACTCCTGCGAGTCAGCGGGTGACCCACTGTACGTGTGCTCGGACGGGCCGACACTTGGCCATGTTTACCCGTCAGCCGGGGTCGAGCCTGTACACACTTACTAGTGAGTCTCCTCCAGTTGCTGAGTCTGGTCAGGTAGCTACATCGGGTCAGGTGTTAGCTGCAGCGTCCAGGTCTGGTCCTGAGTCTGCTCCCTGCTCGTGTCGTCTCCTATCCCACAGGACTCTCCTCTCGCACCACCGCCTTGGTCACCCCTCCCTGCCTCGTCTGCGAGGCATGACCTCCCCTTACCTTGTCTCTGGTCTCCCCCGGTCCCTCCCTCACTCCTCCGAGTTTCCTCCGACAGAGGCTCCGCTGCAGACCCTTCAAATGGACGTGTGGGGCGCAGCCCGCGTCCGTGGACAGAGTCACGAGCGTTACTTCCTGTTGGTGGTTGACGACTACTCGCGTTACACCACGGTGTTCCCCTTGCGCAGCAAGGGTGACGTCACTGAGGTGTTGATCGATTGGATCCGCACAGCTCGTCTCCAGCTCAGAGAGAGTTTCGGCTCGGACTTTCCAGTTTTGTGTCTGCACTCTAACAGAGGCGGGGAGTTTTCCTCTAGCCTTCTGGAAGCCTTCTGTCGTGTACAGAGCATCCGCCAGACGTTCACGCTTCCGGCCTCTCCACACCAAAATGGGATTGCTGAGCGCCGCATTGGCATGGTTATGGACGTTGCTCGTACGTCCATGATCTAGGCGGCTGCTCCCCATTTTCTGTGGCCGTTTGCGGTTCGGTACGCAGCGCATCAGATCAACCTTCAGCCCCGGGTCTCCTTGCCAGAGACCTCCCCCACCTTGCGGTGGACGGGGAAGGTTGGCGATGCGTCTGCGTTTCGTGTGTGGGGATCTCTAGCGATTGTCCGCGACTTGTCAACGGACAAGCTGTCCCACCCTGCTGTTCCCTGCGTCTTCCTGGGCTTCCCCCCTGACGCGCCTGGTTGGCAGTTTTACCACCCCACCTCGCGCCGTGTTTTGGCCTCCCAGGACATCACCATTGACAAGTCAGTACCTTACTACCGTCTCTTCCCCTACCGCACTGCGCCTCTCCCCCCGCCGCCGCTCTTCCTTGCGCCAGGTCCCCCCCCGGCAGACCCTCTCCCCCCTCAGGGTCCTGCCCCGACAGGTGTGTCCCAGGTAGACGCAGTCGAGCTTGTCGAGGTAGCTGTTGACTCTGGTGCTGCTAGGGGTGCTGAGCCTGGGGGTGCTGAGTCTGGGGGTGCAGAGCTTGGGGGTGCTGAGCCTGGGGGTGCGGAGCCTTGGGGTGCTGAGCCTGGGGGTGCAGAGCCTGGGGGTGCTGAGTCTGCTCGTGTGGCCTCTGGTGGTGCTGGGACTGGGGGTCGTGCGGGTGCTTCGTCTCGGCGGGAGCTACCCTCTCCACAGGAGCTGCGCGAGTGGTTTGCTCGGCGCTGGAGCCGTGCCGCTGGAGCTGTAGGTGCTACTATTTCTGCTGACCCTAGGGTCGGCGCTGGAGGTATTGGAGCCACTGGTCCTGGAGGTGTTCGTACTGGCGGTACTGGAGCTGCTGGAACTTGGGGTGCTGCTGGGGCTGCTGGAGCTGTTCCTGCTAGAGGTGTTGCGGCTGCTGCTGCAGGTAGTGGAGCTGCTGGGGCTGTTGGCGCTGGAGGTGCTGCTGGCGCTGGTAATTCTGAGGGAGTTGGAGTTGGCGCTGCTGGAGCTAGAGGTACTGCTGGCGCTGGTGCTGCCGCTGGGGGTACTGGTGCTGTCCCTGCTATTTCAGGAGGCGCTGAGCGGCCGCGGCCGTACTTCGTTCTACTCCTTGAGTAGGTTCTTGGTCTCCCGCCTTCTACTAGTCCTGCTCCTCCCTTAGAGTGTCCGCCGCCTGTCCACTCGCAGTCATAGTTCAGCCCGCCTCCCCCGTGCCTGCTCCTTCTCCCTATACTGGTCCTACTGGAGGTCTTGCTTAGCGTCGTGAGCCTGCGTCTCGTCCTGCGTCGCCTATTTGTGCTGCTCGCACTAGTAGTCGTGTTCCGCGTCTACGTCCTCCTGCGGTCGTAGGCACACACCTAATGGCACTGCATCCTTCCACTGCTCCTCTCCATGTCCCGTTGCCGTCTCCTCCAGAGTCCTCTCTTGATGTTCTTGCTGACCTGGAGTCTGACTCTTTTCGTGCTGCCAGTCCTACTGTCACGCGTCTCCTGGCTACTGCTATCACTGACCCTTCCTTTGAGTCCACTGCTGCGTCTGCCTTAGTTGCTGAGCTTGTCGACTTTGCTGCGCGTTGTCGTCTAGACTACGCCACTAGTCTTGTTGCTGAGTCTGAGTCTGTCTGTCCCCCGTCCGTCGGGGGTGAGTGTGCTCTTAGCACGGATGTCCTTGAGGACAAGCACGAGGAGTTCCTGTGCTTTGCTGCTGCTTTGCCCCATCTCGTGTCCACACTGATTGCCCCTGAGGGAGACGCGGATGCACCAAACATCCCGACTCCTCGATCGTACGCTGAGGCGATCGAGGGTCCCTACTCCTCTCATTGGCAGTCAGCCATGGACGCAGAGATAGCTTCGTGGAAGTCCACAGGCACCTACGTCGACGAGGTTCGTCCACCTGGGGCGAACATCGTCAGTGGCATGTGAATTTTTAGGGTGAAGCGGTCGCCGGGCTCTCCGCGTGTCTTCAAGGTGCGTTACGTGGCTCAAGGCTTCAGTCAGCGGCAGCGAATTGACTACTTTCAGACCTTCTCTCCCACCCCAAAGATGACCACTCTTTGGGTTCTGCTGCACATAGCCGCTCAGCGTGACTACGAGCTTCATCTCTCTTGACTTCAGCATAGCTTTCTTGTAGGGAAGCCTGCACGAGGAGATCTGGCTGCGCCACCCACCTAGCTTCACTGGGTCGTTTCCCCCTGGTACCCAGTGGAGCCTCCGGCGGCCAGTCTACAGTCTCCGCAAGGCGCCCCGCGAGTGGCGCGACACAGTGAGGACTACACTTGCGGCTCTTGGGTTTGCTCCTTCTACAGCCGACCTGTCGCTGTTTCTACGCACCGACACCTCTTTGCCGTCGTTCTACATCCTCGTGTACGCCGATGACTTGGTCTTTGCTACTGCTGACACTGCTGGACTCGCCCACGTGAAGTCTGAGCTACAGAAGAGACACACGTGCACCAACCTGGGTGAACTGCGCAGCTACCTTGGCTTGCAGATCACCCGGGAAAGAGCATAGCGTACCATTACTCTGACTCAGTCACACATGGTGCAGCAGATCCTTCAGCGCTTCGACTTCACGTACTCCTCGCCTGAGGCCACTCCTCTGTCTACTTGCCACTCACTCTCAGCTCGGCCTTCGGATGAGTCCGTAGAGCCGAGTGGCCTGTACCCAGAGCTTGGTGGCTGCCTCATGTACCTGATGACCTGCAATCGACCTGACCTAGCATACCCTCTTAGCATCTTGGCACGCTATGTTGCTCCTGGGAGACACCGACCAGAGCACATGGCTGCAGCGAAGAGGGTGTTGCGCTAGTTGTGCAGTATGTCAGGCATGGGGCTAGTGCTTGGAGGGCGGCGTTCAGTTGTCCTCACTGGTCACGCAGACGCTTCTTGGGCTGACAACCAGGCTACGCAGTGGTCGTCATAGGGTCACACCTTCAGCCTTGGTTCCGGCTTTGTTTCGTAGCGGTCTACCCGCTCGTCTTCTGTTCTCGGCTCTAGCTGTGAGGCTGAGATCTACGCAGGGGCCATGGCTGCACAGGAGTTACGCTGGCTCACCTACCTGCTAACTGGCTTGGGAGAGCGGCCTCGTTCTCCTCCAGTGGTGTACGTCGACAACAAGGCTGCCATTTCCTTGTGCCAGGAGCACGGACTGGAGCACAGAACCAAGCACATCGCTCTGCATTACTTCCTGGCTCGAGATTTGCAGCAACGTGGCCAGCTTCGTCTTGCTCACATGGCCACTCAGGCCATCACTGCTGATATATTTGCACCTCCATTAGCACCAGCTCCAGCAGCACCTCGAGCTCCAGCAGCTCCAGTACCTCCATTAGCACCAGCTCGAGCAGCACCTCCAGCTCCAGCAGCTCTAGTACCTCCAGTATGAGCACTTCCGAGACCAGCGGCTCTAGTACCTTCAGTAGCTCCAGCTCCAGCTCCTGCATCACCTCCAGCTCCAGCAGCTCCAGTACGAGCACCTCCGGGACCAGCGGCTCCAGCACCTCCAGCAGCTCCACCTTTAGCTCCCGTAGCACCTCCAGCCCTAGTGGCTCCAGTACCTTTAGTAGGAGCACCTCCGGGACCAGCGGCTCCAGCACATCAAGTAGCTCCATGGCCTTCGGCGGCAGGCCCCCCAGATCCAAGAGCGCCACTTCGTAGGCTCTAGTGCCGAGTAAACCACTCGCGCAGCTGTGGTGGAAAGAGAGGCTCCCTTTGTGACGAGACACCTGGAGGACCTCCAGCAGACAAAGTACCGCCAGGCTCAGCACCCCCAGGCTCCGCACGCTCAGGCTCAGCACCCCCAGGCTCCACACCCTCAGACTCTGCAACCCCAAGCTCATCACCCCCAGGCTCCGCACGCTCAGGCTTAGCACCCCCAGTCTCAAGATCCCCTGGCTCCGCACGCTCTGGCTCAGCACCCCTAGACGTAGCACCACCCCCAGCAGCACCAGAGTCGATAGCTACCTTGATAGGCTTGACATGGTCTACAGACACACCTGAAGGAGCAGGACCTTGAGAGGGGAGGGGGTCTACCGGAAGAGGACCTGGTGCGAGGAAGAGCGGTGGGGGGAGGAGACAGGCAGTGCGGTAGGGGAAGAGACGGTAAAAGAGAATCGACTCGTCAAACGTGACGTCCTGAGAGGACAGGATACGGCGCGAGGTGGGGTGGTAAAACTGCCATCCAAGCGTGTCAGGGGGAAAGCTAAGGAAGACACAGGGAATGGCGCGGGAGGACAGCATGTCCGCGGAAGTATCGCGGACAAAGGCACGAGATCCCCAGACCCGGAACACCGACGCATCGCCAACGTCTCCCATCCAACGCAGTGTC